GAAAGAAAATTATAAAGATCAGGTAGCAAAATGACCAAAAAACATTTGGCCACTCCATTGCAGATTAACAGGAGCTCAGTGCCACTGCATTAAATATGAATAAGAATTTAAAAGAAATATTGTTTGCTCTTTCAGGTACTGGGTGAGCCAGAAATGGGCTGAATAAGAGCAGGAAAGAACACACAACAGGATAACACTGTGTGTCAGCTTTGCTACCCATAAACATCTGAAGAATCAACAAACTCCCCCATTTCTGTAGATCTATGAGTCTCTTCACTTCATCAAGGTGCTCTTTAGTGAACACCATCTAGAATCCTTCTTAGACAGAATTCTCGTCTAGCTTAGAATCATTAATAGAACATTTTCTGGTGTTTCTTATTTCCCTCATCCCTCTGTTGAGTAGGAACAATTAGCTCTCCTACTCCTGGATCCATTGCACTGATGCATTCAAATTGCTTAGATAGTTTTGAAAATTTTAACTGTATACTTAGTATGCTTTAAAAATACCATCTCTGGTCATATTACTTTGTTGTCTACAGAAGTAATGATCTTCTGCTCAGGGATCCCAGGCACAGGGGGAGAACTGTATAATTTCAATTTTTAGAGGATTTTATCAGTGGCAATTTTCCAGGGCAGGTCCAGATATCATTTGGACCTAAAGGAATTCACTTCAGACAGGTATAGCGTTTTCATTTCCATTACCATTTTCATTTCCATTTCTTCTTTCAAGCATTTTTCTCTTTTTTTAAGTATATGGTACCTGAATTTTAGGTTTCCTTAATATGCACCAAAATAAAGTTTTATTACGCTTGATTTTTACTGTGCGATTTCTTCTGAAAGTTGGATGAAAAGCTTTGAGATTTCACTGTCCTATCCAGTGACCACTGAGAACTAGAAAATTACTTATTACAGTCCAGATTTCCTTTTTATTAAATTTGTCTTCCTTGTGCTTTCCACAGGGAAAGAGAAAGACTCCTTAGCCCATTTAAAAGATTTCAGGACACCTATTGGGTTTAAATGAATTTTAATTACTCATGGTCCTTTCAAATTAATCAGGCTCAAAATTTTGGATCATAACAATAAGAGAGACAGGTCTAAAGAGAAAAGGTGAGAGAACAGGCTGTTGATTTGCCACGCACCAATACTAGGAAGGGGCCAACAGGAAACACTGGGGTGTTCTGATAAATCACACAACCGTTGGCTGGCAGTCACGAAAACCCAACACCGACTTCTGTCTCCCGAGCTGCAAGCTGTGAGGATGCTGTGGTTAAAACACACTGACTTTATCAGGCTACTCAAGAAAAATATCCCCTTGCTTTTAAACATGCGTTAACCACTTCCCAGGTGGCAGGGCCCAGAGCATTTCTCAGGTGCTGACTGAACCACTGTTGACTCCAAAAAAGCCCCCAGAAGGGTGCATGGTGAAATATATTTAGCTAAATTTGACAAATTTAGTTCAAACTCTCCCTACAGAAGTTGTGACATTTCTGTGGTGAAACCACTGTCTCTAGGTCCTGTAGCTCTGTGGTTGGTTCTCAGGAGCACATACTTAGTCTGGAAAACCATGTCAGTCTTGTTATTGTTTCCTAGGCATCCCAAGAGCCAGATGGACATGTGAAGCAAGCTGACAGCAAATCTGTCTTGAGACAGCCCACTTCCTGTCCCAGTTTAAACAGGCCATACCCCACCTCTGTGGTCTGAGTGACTCAACCACAAAACCAGGCTGCTCTCACAGTTCCCTTCTTCTACTCTGTTGCTCCCTTTCCACCCTGGCTCCTGAGCCTGAGCTGACTTCTCTGCAGGCAGTGCCCAACACCTGTATTTCCCTCTCTGTGACAAAGGAGGCAGAAAACATGCTGGTTCGGTGCAAGGACTTGTAGGGAGAGAGGCATCCATGGGAACCAGACAGTTCCCACTACAGTTCCCATCTCCCCACAGACATGGACAGGTAACTCCAGACAAGGCCAAAGCTTGGTGTTCCCTGTGCTCCAGAGGCAATGGATGGAAAGGTGGGATATGCTGTTGGAGCAGACCCTGCTCCACCAGGACCATGACATTTCCTCTTCCCAGCTCTTCTGTTGCTTCACTTGGATTTTCCCTGAGGCTGTGGTGTGCCAGCACAGACAGCCAGTGCCACCCTTAGTCCCTGAATGCCCAGGACTGGACACAGAGAAAATAATAGTAGTATGGAAATCCCTGCACTAGGAGTTTGTGGTGCTCTGGATTAAATCTTGGATTTATAATTTTAAAATTGTGAGTGAGGTGAGGGGTGAGGTCTGAGGAGTGACAGCAGGGAGGGGTGGGAATGGGTGGGGCTGTGGCTATAAAAGGAGTGGGCAGGGTGGTGCCACAGTCAGTTTTTGGGGTCACAGGGAGAAATTTGGCACTGCATTTGCTGGTCTTGGAACTGGGCCGAAGTCCTGTGATTTGAGGCTCACAAGCAGACATCCAGTGCTGTGTTTTGGGGGTTCAGAACCGGGCTCACTTGGAGAATTTTTAGGGCATTGGACAGTTGCAATGATGCAATGGAGGAGGAGATGAGTGGGGAATCGAGGGGGTCAGGTGGAATCCCCCCAGAAAGGGAGGTTACAGCCCAAAAATGCCAGAAAATTCATAGGGAGTGTGTGTGAATGCTAAAACCTTTAAAGTTTCTCATTATATATATATATATAATCAAATAATATTAATTTATATAAAAATATTCTAAAATAAACCCCTGTGCCTGCTAGATTATATACAAGATTTTAGGATATAAGAAATTCCGAATACAGATCTATAGGATTTGAGAATACAAATGTAACTTTTGAATATACAAATTAACCAACAAAGGGCTGGAAAACGTAAGGAAACATGATGAATATGAAGGCAATAGGAAGAGCTCTGGGTGCTGGGAGGCTTTTTTCTTTTCCTTCTCGATGTCACACCCCGAGCTCAGGACCACGCCTGGGATTGTAATCGCCGCTGTGGTGAAGGCGATGTACTACAAGTGTTTGGTGACTCGCGGGTGACACCTCCTGACCGAAAGCGGTAATATCGAGCTTTTCTGAGCCGGAATGGAAGTGACAATTCTGGGGTAAAACTTGAGCTAGTCAGGGGATGTTTCAGGGAGCAAAATCTGAGTTCATGTACAGAGGACAGAATGAACGTTTCTGAGGGAAAAGCAGAGGCAAAATAGGAGTGGGAACAGAGGTGGCTTTTTTTGACAGAAATGCTGAGGTGATTTTGATTAAACAAAATCATGTTTTTTGCAGTTTGAATACAGGGGTACTTTGGGGAGGGAAAAAATTCTTTGTGAGAGAAATTCTGCAAACTCAGGGAAGACATAGGCAGCGTTTTTGACAGAAACTCTGGGATTACTTAGAGGGGACAGAGGTGACACTTTGAAAATCTGACATAATTTAGAGGAGACAAAATCAGTTTTATTCAGGGAAGTGTGAACTGATGTAGAGGGGAGAGAGGTGGAATTTTGATGTCTCATGTGCAGAAGATGAGTGCTGCCCACTTCGTGGACAGCAAGACCTTTCTGTTCTGTTCCTTTGCCTGGGAGGAATCTTTGGCCGTATTCAATTTTGGAAGGCAGACTCACAGTTTCAGCACAATAGGAGTTGTACAATCCTCCTCAGCTTCAAGTCCTAAACCCTGGAAACTCAAACCTCTTCAAATTATTTACTTTTGTGCCAATTTCTGCAATTGGTGTAAATATGCTGCTTAATTTCAGACAACTTAATTTCATAAGAAATGGTAGCAACCGGGAAGCATCCACTACAAATAAGCTCTGGTAGTGTTTATCTGACATTGAGGTCAAATAAGGATGTCATTTGACCCAGACTTTTTGACATTGAAATTGTTTCATAATAACAATGAAGGAGGATACAGCACAGATTGCCAGGGCCATGGGAACACTGACTAGCTATCCATATTTTCGCATACACTGACAATATCTCTGTCTTTCTAAGGCACCTGGTAATTGTCATTCTCTTTTATTTGAATAATCTTTTGAAGGACCAAGACTTTGGTGATTTTACATGTAAGTCCTTTGCAAGCATGTATTTATTTAAATGGTATTGTTAAAGGGTTGCTTTTCTGTGTTTTTAATAACAAATAAGCTCCACAGATGATAAATTGGGTATTTGGGAACATAAAGCAAACTTGATGTGTTTTTTCCCCTCCCTGTTACAAACTCCTTGTCATGTGCTCCGCAAAAATGGCATGATCAGGATTTTGAGAACTTGTGATGTGATTTTTCACTGCAGCCTCAGTTTATTCAGCTTCTTGTTTATGGGTGTTACAGAGAAAACATTTGCAAAGAGCATTTTTAGATAAACTGAAGTGGGACTCCAACATGAGCTATCCAGAGGAGGGCAATAAAAATGGTGAAGGGTCTGGAGCATGAGCTTGATGAGGAGCAGCTGAGGGAGCTGGGGGGCTCAGCCTGGAGTAAAGGAAGCTCAGGGTGGATCTTCTCACTCTCTACGACTCCCTGACAGGAGAGCGGAGCCAGGTAGGAATGGGGCACTGCGCCCAGGGAACAAGGGACTGGATAAGAGAACAGAGTCTTGAGCTGCACCTGGGGAGATTTAGGTTGGACGTTAGGAGAAATTTCTTCACAGAAAGGGGGATTAGACACTGGAATGGGCTGCCCGGGGAGGTGGTGGAGTCGCTGTCCCTGGAGGTGTTTAAGGAACGGCTAGACGCGGCACTCGGTGCCATGGTCTGGTTGACTCGGTGGTCTCAGAGGTCTTTCCCAACCTAATCCATTCTGAGCATATCGACACTTCCCAATTGCTCACCGGTCTGGGAGCCTCGCGGGCGGGTACGTTATTAATTAACGCCATAGCAGCGAGGGGTACAAAGCATTTACTCAATGAGAACGACTGATACTAACGGTCCCAGCCCCTCAGTCCCCGAGGCAGCGCCCGGACGGTCTCAGGGCGGATCGGGCGAGGCCGGGGCGGGGGTGGTGCGGCGCAGGGGCGGTACGGCGCGGCGCGGCGCAGGGCAAACATGGCGGTGGCGGCGGCCGAGGCCGAGGCGGTGGCGTTGAGGGTGTCGCGGCAAGAGAGGGAGCTACGCTGGCTGGCGGCGGAGGTTGGGCGGCTGAAGGAGCCGCAGGAGCCGTGCTGCGCCGGCAGCGTCAGCCCCGAGTTGCAGAGGCTGCGGGCCGAGAACGAGAAGCTACGCTACCGTCTGCTGCACCTGCGCCGCAGCCTGGCGGCCGAGCTGGGCCGAGCGGCGCCGCCCGAGCCCCCGGGCGGCGCGAAGGTACAGCCTAGGGGCGAGCGGGGGCCTCTAGGCCCCAACGGGGAGGGAAGGGACGGGACAAGGCCGTTCACGGACCTGTCACCAGCCCACGGGGGTCGCTCAGGGTGGTGCGAGCCTGCCATGGTGTCCGCACGCAGCACTGAACAGGGTCCTACCTTTGCGCGAGTGTCACAGAATCAGAGAATGGATTAGGTTGGGATCATCTCCTTCCAACCCCTTGCCGTGGGCAGGGACACCTTCCACTAGACCACGTTGCTCAGAGCCCCATCCGGCCTGGCCTTGAACACTTCCATGGATGTGGCACCTGCAGCTTCTCTGGGCAACCTGGGCCAGGTGTGACACCACTGGAAGTTGCCACTGCTCAGTGCTTCCACGGTCTCTCTTGGGATGTTTTGTCGGTGATAGTTGTAGCAGTGCCATTGGGTAAATTGTGTTGAGAAAACTTTACTTGGCGAGCAGTTTTGCTGTGTCTGCAAAGATGAAAGCTTAGGTGTGCCATGAGAAGTCTTTGTGCTAAGGAACATAACTTATTCCCCGGGAATGGCCTTTTTAGCCCAGTATTGTACTGGACTGGTTTGGTTTAATGATTGCTGGGAAAAGTCTTAAAAGCATAGCAGGTGTATACTTTGTATTATCACTGTTTTCAGAAAGTCTGCAGTGCAAGTCCAACTGATACAGTGAATCAAAATAAAGAGGAAAAGAAAAAAGAAAATAAAGCTGTGAACCAATATCAGAATGATGTAAGTCATTATTTTATACTACATAATAATAGAAGAAGGAGTGTTGTTTGACCAGAAAGGGTGCTCAAATCTGAAATACTTTGCTGTATTTTGAAATCCCAACTTTTGGGAAAAAGGCTTTCTATAGCATAGAGGAAAAAAAAAACCAAAAAACCAACATTATTTAGGAGCTTCATCTTCTGTTAGTAGGATTACTTACACATTCTTAGGTCTGTACTTTTTATGTAAGAAAAGGATTGGGATTATTGGGAAATAAAAGTTGTAATTCTGTGGTGCCTAAAGAGAGTGAAGGTTCAGGAGCAGTTAAACAGTGTGATCGCTGAAAGGATGTTTGTTGGCAACAGTGGCTGTAGTAATAATAATAATATAATAATAGTACAGTAGAGCTTAATAACTCAACTTACGTTAAACCAGAGTGAACTTCACGTCACCTATCTTCTTTGAATCTGATGCTTTGAATGGACTAGCAGAAGTGAGGACTTGTTGGAGTGATTCACATTTCTCTAGGACATCTGCCAAATGCAAATTCTGGGGCAGGAATGTAAGCTGCTTTCTGAGGTCAAACTCACAAAGCCACTTAGGCCCAAATTGATGAAAGTGCATGGAAAATTGGAAAGCCACTATAAAACAGTCAGAAACTTGGATGAGACTAACCTGTATATAATTATTTACAAATCCTTTAATGTTTTTTAGTATAAATTCTAGTACAGTGAAATCTGGTCCAAGCTGGGACCTCTGGGAATGCACCAACACTGTGAATCCTTTAATTCTGTTTCTCTCAAAAGTGTGTATGTGTATAATCTAATTTATTTGTTGCAGCTACGGTGTGCGCCAAGCTTCATAGAAGACAGACTGAAGCTTTATGAAGCACTGAAAAAAGAACATGATGCTTTGCTAGCTTACAGAGCAGCCAACCAGAGCAAATCTGTCAAAATTACTCTGAGAGATGGAATGATGGCTGAAGGGGAGTCTTGGAAAACCACACCGTATCAATTAGCTATAGGAATTAGGTAACCTGCAGATTCAAGGAGTTACACTTTTGGAGTGATAAAACTGTTACTGTCATTTGTCTCTTACCTTTTTGTGAAAAAATATATGTCATGGTCAGTGGATGGTGACTCAAACTTGTTTCTTTGGAAAGCATTGAAACTTCAGCTTAATGTAGAATAAACAGGTGGTTGAAGTTAGTCTTCTGAGTGATACTTGAGGTTCTGTGCTGGGATCATAATGCCTGCTTACAGTTAAAGAGTAAGTCAGTGAGAGTGCTAGGGATTAATAGAGACATCTGAAGTTCTGTGAGTTACCAGATACAGTAGAACCTGTTGTAAGAAACAGTCTTTCCGCCAGATCTCTAGCACTGAAAACTGTGGAATGAAACTTCTCAAGACCTTAAGGTTCTTTACCTTAAAAGTGGAAAAGTGTTCAAGACCACCACTGAAACAAAAATGTAAGGTCTTCAGGTGCTACAAGATGTGGGTGTGATCTCACAGGGTTTAGAAACCTAAGGTCTTTTACAAATTGAACCTAAATCTTCAGGTCTCTTGTCATCTTTTCTGGTTTTTTAGTCAAGCATTGGCTTCGAGTGCAGTCATAGCCAAAGTGAATGGTGAACTGTGGGACCTGGATCGTCCACTGGAGGGAGATTGTACTCTAGAGCTGCTGACCTTTGATGATGAAGAAGCAAAAGCTGTGAGTAAACACTCTGGTTTCTGCTTGATTAGGAGAACTGATGACATAAAATTGATTGCAGTATTAGGCATTTAAAATCTTGAAATAAAAAAAAAAAAAGCCACAAAAGTTCAAGTAATGTATTTCCCATGATTCAGCAAAGATGATATGCTAATCTGAGAGCCTATAATCTGAGAGTGAATAAAATTTTAGTGTTCTTTTCATCCTTCTCTTTTACATAAACAGGTTATTTCTCAAATGAGATCATACAGAACATCTTGATTTGTATGCTAACATGAAATAGTTTAATGTCTTCTAAGATGTGTTTTGTGGTTTGACTCAGTGCATCCAAAGATCAGACAGTAAAAGCAAAGTAAGACTATTTTACCATTTTCTAAAAATTGTCCAATATTAGATTTGAACCATAAATAAAATCTTCATGTCCTTGTACTGGCACTGTTTAATAAAACCTTAAGTAGTCATATCTGAGTCAATTAAACTATGAATATTCTTAGCAACACGCCTAAGATTTTTTTTTAATGGGATTCAATCTGAAACCTATACACTACAATTAGACTTCAGTTTTGTCAAAGAATTATTCATGTGATTGAGCTTGTCTGAGGCATTCCATGTAAAGGCATTATCTTGTAGCAGTGGCTCTAAATTAGTCCAAATTAATAGAAACTTAGAACATAAGACTGGTATTGATCTACTGGGTCATTGGCTCCCCTCTGCTGACATTTCAGGTAATGTACTTTACAGACCTATTAATAAACGTACTGAATGTGAACAGTGGAAGCTTAACTGGCTGCATTGTTTTAGATCTGATTAGTGTTGCATAGACTTCTGACTGACTGGAAACTAACTTATAAATGAATAAGTTACAGTAAGTACTAAGTTGATGGGATAGCACACAGGTATAGTCATGGTCTTTCAAACTGATGTGTGGTAGGCCTTTAGTGCTACATCTGACGTTGTATCAGTCATTTAGAGTACTTCAAAATGAGAACAGGAAATTGTTTTACCTCTCTCAAAATTTAAACAACCTTGGTTCCAGTCTATTTCCCATCTACAGGTATACTTAATGGTTTGTTGTTGGTTTTTTTTTTCAGTTACACAATGCCACTGACCTCTTGACTTGCTCACCTAAGTTTACTTGCAGGTTTATTGGCATTCAAGTGCTCACGTCCTTGGAGAGGCCATGGAAGGATATTTTGGGGGCTGCTTGTGCTATGGACCACCAATTGAGAATGGATTTTATTATGACATGTATATTGAAGATAGGTAAAATTTCAGTGTCTTAGAACTTTTATACTCTGTATTGAAGCTCAGTACTAGAATTATTTTGTTCTGTCAAGTTTCTGCATGTTAAAATTGTGTCTCTGAAATGATTTGAAGCTCATAGGTTATTCTTGTATGTAGACACATAAATTGAGTATGTGTGTGTGTATTTAAATTCAGGAGCTCTGTTCAGATACCTGCTCTGTAAGACTTGCAGCTGTTCAGTGTTCTGTGGAAAAAACATAGAGTGGATAAAACTTTATGAACTTCTGGGGACACAAAGGAGATGGAAACCAAACTCCCCTAATTCTTCAAGGAAACCGAGTCACTTATACTGAGGGCACCTATGCATGTAACTTGTATAAGTGTTTACTACTTTTCTAATCCTTGTGCACAGCACCCCAATTCTGTTTATTCCTTGTTTATCTTTCTGTAGTAAGGGAAAATACTGAATCTGCATCAGCTGATAAACAAACTCCTGCAGCTGGGTTGAGCCTTTTCTCGCCTCCTTTTTTTTCTTAAATCATATGTATACTTCAACCTGAAGGTCTTCCAGACATTTAATCATGTCAAAGACTGATGAAATGATTACTGTGGGTTTGTTTGGGGTAGTATGATTTGTGTTTCTGAGTTTAGTGTCTGAAAATAGAGCTGATTGGAAGAAACCAAGAAAATACCGTGACAAATCACAACAACACATTTTTATGGTTTTGTATTAGAAAGTGGTTAATTGAAAAAATCTGAGTATCAAAATAATTAATTTATATTTCTTTTACCTGTGTCTTTTTGTTTAGAGGTGTGTCTAGTACTGAATTCCCAGTACTAGAGAACTGCTGTAAAAATATCATAAAAGAGAAACAGGCTTTTGAAAGGCTGGAAGTCAAAAAGGAGACCCTGTTAGAGATGTTTAAGGTAAATCTTTTGAGTAGCTGTGGTTCTGGTACAATGATCTTTTAAAATGTAACTTTTTAAAAAATTCTACATGTGACTGACTCATCGGAATTGTACCTGTCTACTAAAACAAAGAAAAAGAACATCATCCTCTTCCCCCTCTTTCCTCTCAAATGTTCAAAATGTTTTCAAGCACTAATAAAAACAATTTTTATTACACAAAAACACCTCAGGCTCAGTGAGATGACAAATAAATACACAAAAGGCACACATTCCTTCTGGCTCACTTGCAGAGACAGGTCAAAAAAGACTTTTGGTTTAGCCCCTGATTTTATACAGAGAATATTGCCAGTCTCACTGTACTGTGTAATTCAGGTGGTACTCGCCATCCTCAGCACACCCTCAGGGGACTGAGATCTTTTTGTCTCTCCTCTTATTTTAGAGCTCTTCGGAAAGGATGTTGAACTGTTGAATACAAGCTTTTTTTTTTTTTTTAAGTTACAAGTGTCTGTTACTGATGCACTTGCATTATTAATACATAATTTAAAAAAAGAATTTTGTTACCCAATTTATTGATATTATTGACTTTTCATGTTTCCACGCAGTATAACAAGTTTAAGTGTCGTATCCTTAATGAGAAGGTGAAGACACTGACTACCACAATATACAGGTAAAGAAATATACTTCAAAGGTATTACGAAGTATTTTTATAGTTAGTTTATTTAAATTGAGAGGAGAATAAATTGATTTTTTGTTTTGTTTTGTATTCTTTCTGAATTCTTGTGTGATTAGGATTTAAGTTTGCAGTTAACATTGCTACTTATATAAAAAGAGATCTTTTCTGTGCTGGGACGGATTAGATCTCAATTTGTGAGCAAATGGCAAATCCAGTTTTTATTCATTCCCTCTGGTTTCAGTAAACTGGTTAAAGTAAGTTACCACCCTTAACATTGGATTGATGCATAGTGGATAACACTAATTCTTACCTCATTGCGGGATGAGGAACCTGCTTATTCAGTTGCTCATTCCAATCAGTTGAAAAATGGCAAAACCATTTTTCTGTTTGATGTGCATAGTTTGAAATCTCTTGGGCAACTGTAACATAAAGTTCACATGTGGAATTATCTGAATTGGTAACTGTTGTGATGCTGTTGATAATAGATAGCTGTGCTGAGCATTTACTGAGCAAATATCCCAGTTGAGGTAGAAGGCACAGTTACATTTAAGGTGCACTGAACTTTCTGCATGTTGCATATTTGTATTTACTGTCATGTTGGAATGTGTCAAGCACGAACTTGTCACAGGAAAGGTTGGAGCGTTTGGAAATGAACCCTTTCTTTCTCTTGGCATATAGATGTGGTCCACTGATTGATCTCTGCAGGGGTCCACATGTCAGACACACTGGAAAAATTAAGACCCTTAAAATAGTTAAGGTAAGTTTAAATTAAGTGTGTGTTGAAACCAAAATTAGAATGCAGTTGATTTATTTATATATTTATTTCTCCTGAGCTGATTATGCTAGGGTTCTTTGTATTGTTTTCTTTGTTTACTCTGAAAATAGTCCTTCATTTCTTTCCCACCTCCCATTGTATAAGTAGAACTACAGACTTCAATCATTCATCTGCATCCAAGGTTTACTGATTCTTGACTTTCACAATAGCACATAGTGAAAGTTAACAGCATCTTTTTTTATCAGGGTATTAGTGTAGTAACATGCATGTTTAGACTGCATAACACTACAAAAACACTGTAGTTAGTAGTGACTAGATTTGCTGTGGAACCAATTGTACCACGCCTAGTAGAGAAGTGCAGAGCCTAAGCCCATGTGGCAGTGCTGTTCCAGTATCTCCAGCCAGCACTGCACCTGTATCCTGGTTTGAGTCTGTCCTTGCTGTCACATCTCTGTGTGTGTGGGGGTGTTGTATGCACACTCTGTTCTGCAGTAGATGAACATCCAAGTATTTATTGGGTCAGAAAATACTATTTTGACCTTGTCAGATGGTATCTTTTCAGGTACAGGATGTAAAGTGGACAGTGGCAGATCTGCAAGTGCTGCTGTTAAAAGATGACATTGCTTATAGGAAAGGCAGAGACAGTGTTGGCAGAGGCCTCTGGTTTTGTGGTGTAGTTTAAGTTATTCACAGATGCTAATTTTGGTAACCTTATTAGACTGACCTCATTAATCATAGTTGCTTTTGCTGGCTTCCTAACTGAAGCGTATGGAACTCCGAATTCCAGGGATTACATGTTAGATTGTTAAAGCAGCTCAGAATTAACTGTGAGAGTTAGGTTTGTTGTGTCTTTCGTGTTTCCACACTGCATTATGTTTTGAGTGTAAACAGGTGCTGCTTTTTTAGCTGCTATAACATGAAATAATAAAACATGCCTTGATGTGAGTTGAAACAAAGTGCCTAAGCAGAATAAAAATATTACTTGACCAGTCACTTTTTTTTGTCATCTGTACTAATATGCTGACTGAAAGGTACTGCAAGTGTATTCGTGTTATAAACAAATGCTGAAAGACTGCCTATAAATCTTTTCCCGAGGGAGAAAATAATAATATTTGAATGTGTTAATGTTTATCCCTCTTTTCCCTGATATTATGTAATATTCCCTTAAGTCTGGGTTTTGTGTATCAGAGTTCCTCTACATATTGGGAAGGAAAATCTGATATGGAAACTCTGCAGAGAATATATGGAATATCCTTTCCTGAAAACAAAATGATGAAGGAATGGGAAAAAATACAGGAAGAAGCCAAAAACCGGGATCATAGAAAAATTGGAAAGGTACAGTATTCCACTGTCTACTTATTTTACACTTCTATAATAGAATTCATTCTCTTTCCTTGTTTTTTTTAGTTTTGAGTTTGTTTGGGTTTTTTTTCCCATTTTTGACAATTTTAATGGGAGCCAGTTCTGTGTGCTTCTTGGTGTTGCTTACATTTTGCAATTTTTGTTCTACAAACTCAACTTGTCACTTGCATACGAGTGTTAAACTAATGTTGGGAATAAGTTAATGGGTTTAGTCCCTTGGTTTAGGGAAGTACATCTTAAACCTTTTAATGTAGAGACTTTAGGGATTCTACCTAAACCACAGTATTTTTCATAGAAGAGATAATTTATTTGAAAATTGCATAAATAATATGGTTTGGTCTTTGTTTATTATAGGTATAAATAACGTTTACACCTTTACTGTAGTTTTGCTGATAGGGTGGAGCTATAGGGAGGGTATTTCGGAAAAGAAAGGAGCTTTGTGGATATGTAAAGGCACAATGAGCAGTACAGGTGTAAGCAGGAAGGCATTTACTTGAACAACTGTTGTGTAAATGAAGGACAGCATTGTTGGACAGGAGGATGGAGGCATTAACCTTTTGCTGCTCACTGGCAGACATGAAAGGAGAGACTGTGGAGGGCCTTCACAAGCAGAGGGTGAACAACTGAGGTAACTCAGAAGAGGAAGAAACAATGAGAAATTTATAGAAGACAATAACAAAAATTTAAAAAAATTAGGAAAATGGTCTTTATGGAAGTGATCATGCTTATTTCTATTCTTATTAAGACTTGAATATTTCTGTAGTATTTGTTCGATTACTTTTATGCCTCTTCATAAACAAATGATCTAGTATCAATCAATCAGAGAGGTTCTTACCCCAGAGGGTGATCAGGTACTGAACAGGCTCCCCAGAGCAGTGGTAACAGCACCAAGGCTGCCAGAGCTCAAGGAATGTTTGGATGATACTCTGGGGCACCTGGTATAACTCTTGGGGGTGGTCCTGTGCGGGGCCTGGAGTTGGACTGGATGATCCATGTGGGTCCCTTCCAACTCGGCATATCCTATGAATTTATCTAGTGTTTATGAATCTAGTATCTGTGATATTGAAGTGGGTAAAGCTCTCCAAAGATGTATGAGCCACACTGCTGGGCTTCTCTTTTTTTGAAATAAAAATGCTGATAAAGAGTGAGTAGCTCACAAGCTTCAGCCATCATCCCTCACGTGTGATGGATATCTGCTTAATTGCTTTACTAAAGCAATTAAGGTTACTAAAGGTAAGATTAGATACGTAAAAAAACTTCAGGATTTGGGGGAAATGTGTCAAAGAATCAAATGGAATTCAGTGTTATTACAAACTTCTAAGAGTAAGAACTGTAGATCAATTAACTGGTGTTGCTGAGAACTTGTAGACTTCAGTAAATCATCTTGTTTCTGTAACATTTCATCTTTGTGAACAGTGTCTCAATGTGTGTGAGGTAATTATGTTCTGCAGTTCTATCTGAACTGTTAGAGCAATCTGGTTTTAATTTACCTAGGAGCAAGAACTCTTCTTCTTTCATGATATGAGTCCTGGAAGCTGCTTTTTCCTCCCCAGAGGTGCCTTTATCTATAACACACTCATGGATTTCATACGGGTGAGTATATAGTGATGTAACTCTTAAGAAGTTTAGTATCAGTTGTCAATCTTAAATTGACATTCATATCACTGAGCTATCCACAGAAAAATAAATATCTATGTATATAAATATTTACCAGATTTTCAGTATGATTATATATATCTAACCTTTTTTGAAAATAGTGCAGAGTGAGGCTGTGCTTTTCCAGTTGTGCAAAACTTACATGTGCAGTAGTCCTTTAGTCTCTCTGTAAATTGCCATCATAATAACACAGATTAAAAGAATCAAGCTTTGGCTTGTCGAAAGCTCTGTAACCTTTTAAATGGTGAATTTTTTTTCTACAGGGAGAATATCACAGGCATAATTTTACTGAAGTTGTGTCTCCAAATATCTTCAACAGTAAACTCTGGGAAGCTTCAGGACACTGGCAGCACTACAGTGAAAATATGTTCTCTTTTGAGGTTGAGAAGGAAACTTTTGCCCTTAAACCCATGAATTGTCCTGGACATTGGTTTGTACTCTTAACTGGAAAACTTCTTATTTTACTTCATTTATCCTTTGTGGGGCTGAGGAGAATAAATGGGGTATCAATACATGTTGTCATGTATGTTCACAATGCACTACTAAGCCACTGGGTGTGTCCAGGGAGCTTCTCTGACAGTGTCCCAGAAGTCTGCCCTAACTGAGCAATGTTTGTGCATGCTAATCCTAGTCTGTACCATTAGTGAATACAAATTGTTTTGGGTAGAAATAGGCATCAGACGTGCTGTACCAAGAAGGTACAGATGAACCAGTCTTGATTTACTCTAGCAGTGGGTTTTTTTCTAGGTGGTCTTCAGCAGTACATTCTGAGTGAAGCACTTTTTTTGTTTGCCTGTCTTTTAGGATGCAAACAACCTGAATGAATAAATGCTTAAAAATGTGCTTACTGTCTGTATTGATCTTGGTTTATTTCTGTGTTGTCTTAAATCTCCTGTAAGAAGGATAAAAGGAGGGCTCTTTCTCTGTTTTTTAGCTTGATGTTTAGCCATCGTCCCCGATCCTGGAGGGAATTGCCTCTTAGACTTGCAGATTTTGGAGTTCTGCACCGAAATGAGCTCTCTGGGACTTTAAGTGGCTTGACTCGTGTAAGGCGCTTCCAACAGGATGATGCTCACATCTTTTGCACAATAGAACGGGTAAAAAAGAAAAAGGCAACTCCAAGCACTTCCCACACCCCCACAAGTCAAAAAAACCCAAACCTTTCTTTTCCCACTGCAAACAGTAAACAAGTAAACAGGAAGAAGTCCCTGAAGCATTTCAACTCTTAACTTCTTCCATTGTGTTGCTGTGTATCATAATGGTGCTTTTGATGGTTTCCTTTGGTAGGTTTAGGTGCTTCCTTCTTTGATATTTGATATTCCATATTTCTTAACTCTGCAATATTGCTGAACTCAATAGCCTGTTGGACTTGGCTGCTTTGTTGCAAGTTTCTCAAATAGTAATGCCATACTCAGTGTTCTTTATTTTATTTTTATTTTTTTCTTTGAAGTTACAAAATGCTCATATCAAAAGCAGTAAACAGTATTATTTGAGGGATCTTAATGTTTGTGAATTATATAATAAGATTTTCTGTATGGAATTTTTCCATTTGGAAAGATGCGTTGGGCAACTAAATCCCAGAAAGGAAGACTTTTTTTTTGTTGCATCTTCCATCATCCCCTGCAAAGAAAAAAGCTGTTGACCATGTTTTGTTTTCTATAGTAATACTGAACAAACATTTTATTTTGTCAGTAATGCCATAGATTTCAGTGGAACTACATGTATAAATTGATGTACTCATGTCCATTCTGTTGGGTGCAATTCGGCTCCAGAAGTCCAGGCTTAACAAAAATATTACTTTTCTTGCCATGCTTTGAAACCACAACACCTCAATTCTCTCTTCACCCATTACCTAGATTTGGATTTGTAGGATGTAGGTTTAAATTTTTGCTTATTTAATGGACTCTTTTATTCTGGGTATGATGAATTCAGTAGTTTCAATTACATTGTTATGTAAGTGACTTTTAACTAATATATTTTGTGTTATGTTTAAGATCGAAGAAGAAATTGAGGGCTGTCTTGATTTCTTGAAGTCAGTATATGCTGTCTTTGGTTTTACTTTTCAACTGCATCTTTCTACAAGACCCGAAAATTATCTTGGAGAGTTAGAGATCTGGGATCATGCAGAAAAGGTAATTCATTTAAAAGCAAACAAACAAAAAACCCCCTTAATATTTGTATTTGTGGAAGTAGATATTTTACTGAGTTCTGTCATGTTGAATAGTGGAATTGCTTACATCAGATCTGAAATATTGTCCTTAGTGGAAATGCCTTTTGAAAAACATCACATTAAATCTAAAGTTACTGTATACAAATGAGAACTTCCAGATTCTTACTTAGCCCCTTATCTTAAACTGGTTAGATTTCTATTTATTTTTCTGATTAATCACATACTGTACAAGCAACTACTATTCCAAGGCTACTTACCATAAATGAACAAATGCTTGAGTAATAGGGGTTGTGCTGCCTGTTGGCTGCCTTTGAATTTTAAAGGCAAGTGCTTTGACTCCTAGTAATAAAACACCCTGCTATACCTTTTTAAATTACTCTCTCATTTTTTTGATTAGCAACTTCAAAACAGCTTGAATAAATTTGGGGAGCAATGGCTTTTGAATCCAGGAGATGGAGCATTTTATGGTCCTAAGGTTAGTGATTCAGCATTTTAATATAACTTGGGGATAGACAAGAATGCAGACATAGTACAGGGAAACTATATTTAGTAACTGTGTTATTTTGCTTCACAGATTGATATTAAAATTAAAGATGCAATTGGGAGGTACCATCAATGTGCTACCATCCAACTTGACTTCCAGTTGCCCATTCGATTTAATCTTACTTATGTTGGGTGAGTGGTTAAGCTAAATAGTTTCCTCTTTTAAATTAAATAATGAATAAAAGTAATCATAAATGCTTTCATTGTCTGTAATTCCCATTATGTATTAATGCTGTGCTGCTCATTTAACAAATGATTAGCCTGGTAAGGAGAGTCACAAATTTGAAGATATTTCCTCGATGTAATGACAGCTCACTTTAGTTGAAATGGTGCTGAGTGCAGGATAATCTCATCAGCTGTCTTGTCTGCCAGTTCTGAATCATATATAATACTAACAAAACCTCAGCTGAGTCAGTTTTCACTTTCAGCCTAGTCATAGTGTCTTCTTGGAAGACATACCATACAAATTCAAATATGCCTTACGGAGCTGCTATGTTTGTACTAAGTACTCCTTTGTTTTTATTGGGTTAAACTAGTTAACTTTGAACATAAACCAAATACAAACAGTTTTTAGTGAAAATCTCACTTTGGCTTCCAGCTAGAAAGATGAATTTTTATCCACTAAGCAAATTAATCTTAATATTATCTTAATTTGAATACACATTTTCTGGGTTGTTTTTTCTTGTAGTGTTGTTTTTCACGTATTATCAAGATATCGATAGGGAAGATAGAATAAGAGTCTTTATTACTTTTGATCCCACTTCGTGTTCTACAGTAGATGCCATAGCTTTTTAGTAGGTGATGATACTGTTGCAAACAGCTGGCTTTTTTTTTATCACAGTATTGTAATTTAAGCAAAGTAATGAAGAGGTGAGGTTCAAAAGGGAAGGTGAGGTCCTGTGCAACAAAATAAAAGCAAGTCATAGTGGAACAAGGAAGAACATAAAATATTAAAATGCGCAGAAATGGTGCTGAATCAGTCTAGTGGCTTTTCAAATTTAAGAGTTAGTGTCTATGCCACTGGCTATAGGCACAATTATTTTAAGTCACTGTGATTATTCAGTATTCCTTTAAAAGCCTAGATGACTTAAAATACATTTTTAATAAAAAGAGTAGATTTTGCCTAAGTAGAACTAACTAAATTTTGTCTTTCTGTTAAAAGGAGAATCAAAAATATTAGTTGGATTACGTGTGTGTGAGCTAAGATAATTTCATTTTTTAAAAAAACTTTGCTTGTTTTTTGTTGTTTTTTTTTTTAGTAAGGATGGCGATGATAAGAAAAGGCCAGTGATTATTCACAGGGCTATTTTGGGATCTGTGGAGAGGATGATAGCTATTCTAGCAGAAAATTATGGAGGAAAATGGTATGTAGCACACATGGACTTCTAAGAAGTGTTTAACAATATAGAAAGTTGAGATCCTTCCTGCTGTCCCATATATTATAATGCAAAAATAATATCCCTAGAATGTTCTCAAAACTAGTAGGTAAGATTACAAGAAAATAAGTCAAATTTTATGGTCTGAGTTGTAATTAGTTTGTTATTAGAAATTCAATTTCATGAGACTGCAGAAAAAAAACAGAATAATGCAGAAATAAGAATTGTAATTGAATGTGTAAGTCCTGCATTATTTTTCTTAAAAATAATGCTTTTGTACTGGGAAGACGTCAGCCATATGTAAGGCAATTGTAAGGCAATGTATGTGTGTGTGTATATATATATATATACATGAATTAGTCCTAATATGTGAAATATTTTTTGTACTTCTAAGATGGATTGGTTTATCTTGAATAAGCTCTGAAGGTATTTTTCCATGAATGTGTTTAAGAGTATTAAGGAAGAGTTAATTCTTAGTTTCAGTCACTGATCTCTCTGACTGTCCACTTTTGACTGTAAAGTTATAAATAAAAATGAAAATTATTTTTAAAATATTCTGTTTAAAAGTGTGAAATCAGCTAGAAAGATAACAGAAAGTCCAGGTTCTGTATTTGTCATTTTAGTGGAATCAATCCATTTGCTATTTCACGTGAACTTGAAAACACAAAGATAACGTACCATCCAACATAGCTAACATAAAGATTTCTATAAAGTAATGAAATTGTTATAGTGGAATGTGGCTGTGATTATGAATGCAAATGTCAAGTGGACATTTATCCCATGTGTCCATCATGCTCTCCAGGCCACTCTGGTTGTCCCCACGGCAGGTCATGGTGGTGCCCGTGGGACCGACATCAGAAGAGTATGCCCAGCAGGTGAGAGCAGGGCAATTCTAATGGATCCTCAAGGACTTGTTCTAGAGCAGAGAATGAATACTTTAATGATTTTGAAGACATATTTGGGGGGGGAGAAGTACTTTTTTCAATATACAATTTCCAGTCTAAAGCTTGTGTAAGCCTGAGTAAGGAATATGTAACTTTAAGTGGTTTTAGTTCTGTTATTATGGACATAATTATTAAAGGAAAAAACATTCTGGATGACAACTAATGCTTCATTACACTACTATTAGCCTAAAATAGGGACAGAGCCAGTTTCATCCATTTCCCACCATGTATATTCTTGACTGCATCACTTCTGACCATGGTTGGTTTTGCCCCTCTCCCCTGCTTTTCTTTTAATATAAGAAAAAGTGGATTTGTTCCTTCTGCTTTTTCTGCTTTCTCAGACTGAGGACACAGTTTTCACACTGAGCAGTGTAGCTACCTGAGGACAGCAGCACATATTTGATATGGATGTTACCTCACACTGTCTTCCAGCTGTAGTCCTGCTAAGCACTTAAGTGGGTGTTCAGTTTTCTTCAGATAAAGTCATTGAATTCCCTGCAGTGATTCACAAGAGCAAAATTATGCACATACATGGGAGAGATCAGTAATTATAGCATGTACAAATGTATGTTTTGAAATATATAGTAATACTAAGAGTGTCTTGGTTTGGTTTTTTTAGGTTTGCAACCAATTTTTTGAAGCTGGATTTATGTCAGATGTGGATCTAGATCAAAGTTGCACATTAAACAAGAAAATTAGAAATGCACAGCTGGCTCAGTATAACTTCATTTTAGGTAGGTAATTGCAGCATCTTACATTACTGAATATCACTTAAGTTTTAATGTTGGACATAGAGTTTGTCTAGAGACTAATTTTCTAATGTAAATAGTTTCATATTTTGTTCTATGTCTTCCAGTGGTTGGAGAAAAGGAGAAAGCAAATAATGCTGTCAACGTGCGAACAAGAGACAACAAAGTTCATGGAGAGATTTCATTATCTTCTGCTATTGAAAAACTAAAAAAACTTAAGAGTTCACATATTCCAAATGCAGAAGAAGAATTCTGACATTGCTGTTGGGGAAAAGAAAATATTAGCTGTTTCTTGTGCACAGCAGTGATGCTCATCTGAGAGAATTTTCTGTTAATGGATACACAAAATAAGCCAATATAGCACTGTTGCTGCTCCAGGAAAAGCATGAGAGGACAGATGCATCTGCCAACTCCTTTAGCAATTGCATGGGTTTCCAATCTGCTTGAGTTGGAGAATGCTTGCTCACAAAGTCCTACACCTCTGATAAGATATGTTGAGCTTGCTGTGGAAGTAAATCAGAGCTGCATGACCCCAGGGAACAGGAAGCTGAGAAGGGCAGTGGCTGCTGTGGGAATGCTGAACTCCCTCTGTCATGGGGCAGGTGCATACCTGTGTTACAGAATCCAGAGCTTGGAAGTCGGTTGGTGCCTGAAGAGCAGTTTTTAGTTTTTTTCTAGCTCCAGATTGTAACAAAAAACTTCGTGGAGGGAATAGCTTGGTTGTTTCAGAATCTGTTCTCAGACTACAAATACTTTGGTGTCTTTGGAAGTCTCAGTAAAACAAGGTATTGATGGACGTGGTGTGATAATCGGTCGGTGTAAAAGTGGTTGCCAAGAATGCAGTTGAATTACTCCCCATATCTGTGTGTCAAGTGTTTGTTTTTTCCTGTATTTGCTGTTGATTTGGCTTTTGTCTAAAACAAAAAAACTTTGAAAAACCTTTCTGTGTGTAATTTATTGTAGCATTTGCCAGGGGATATTGAGAACACTGAGAAGGAGCAGAGGATAATTCTGATATTAAAACAGCATGTTGGAATTTAAATTGGCCATATTTGTTCCGTTTATGCTTATAAATTATTGTTACAGTTGCTGTTGCAGGCAAGTGAACAGCATTTTTTGGAAGATTAATTTTTACCTAATTTCACTTTCATATGCGCTTTTCTAGTTGAGTGGCTTAGATAGTGTTAAATGTGTTGCTCAGTTATCTAAGCTATACAGCTATAGTTGTGATTTAAATGCCACAGCCATAAAGCAGAAAATACTATTTAGTGCATAAATGTTACACAGATGCAAAGCTTGTGTTTTACTTCTGCCTGACACTTGTACAGACTTGTGTTCAATAGGCCTGTGTTTAGTTTGGTCTTTATTTGGGTTTGTGCATCTCTTTTTATCTCCTGCTTTTAGAAGAAAAGGAAAAAAAAAGTAGAAGGAACAAGTAATGGGAAAGCTTTATGTTCCACTTAACAGAATTAGCATGGGATGTGGAGCATGATTTTTATTTATATATTATATATAAATATTTATACATTATATATGATTATATAATATATAATTATATATTAGATCTATATTTTATGTATAAAATTGTTTGGACTAGAGCTTATGTGATGCATGTGTGATGTATTCAGACTGCAGAATTCAGCTACTGGGTTTGGGTTTTTTACAGCGAATTTTTAGGTTTTGCAAGTATCAAACTTTTTTAGCACACATGTATCGATGCTCTTGGCATTTCAGTTTTCACATGACCTGCAGCAAGGAGAGAGGTCAGGGAACTACACAGAATCACAGAATAGTTTGGGTTGGAAGGGACATCTGGAGATCCCCCAGTCCAATCCCCCTACCAAGGCAGGGTCACCTGGAGCAGGTGACACAGGAACCCTCTAGATGGGTTTGCAATGTCTTCAGCGAGGGAAACTCAACGCCCTCCCTGTTCCTGCCGCCCTGCTGTTCCAGTGCTCTACCACCCTGAACATAAAGACGTTCTTCCTCGTGTTGAGGTAGAACCTCTTGTGTTTTAGTTTACGGCCCTTGCTCCGTGTCCTGTCACACAAAAGAGTCTGGCACCTTCCTCTTGGCACCCGCTTTTGGGGTATTTATATGTATTGATGAGATCAAATAGAAATCAACAAAAATAATGTAAAATTCCCTACGGGGAGAAATATGTAGAGAGAAGGGCAGAGGGCAGAAAGCACTGCCCGGTAGCCTGAAGGGGCAGACACCGTGTCCGCAGTCACTGGGTCGGGGGGAGTCGCCTCCCGCGCCTCACGCTGGGTGTGAGGGCCCTGCCCCCAGCGGGCCCGGCAGGCGGAGTCAAGATGGCGGCGCTGTGGGTGCTACGCGCCCTGCGCGGTCTCTGTGGGGCCGCGCTGTTCCTGTCCCAGCTCTCCGTCCTCTCCGGCCGCGGTGAGCGGGGCGGGTGGGGTGCGAGGAGGGGGCAGCAGGGGAGCCGTCTCGGGCATGGGGACTGCTGTCCTGAGCGGCCGCGGCCAGGGCTGAGCTCTTCCGACGGGTCCCGCTGCGGAGGTGACCGTGGCCGCGGTGAGGGGGAGGATGCGCTGCCGCTTCCCTGGCTAGGAGAAGGAACCGTGTGCTTCGGACATGGCTGCGTTTTGTTGTGCCGGTGCTGCGGGGCTGGGTGCTCGGTGTTAGGGCAGAACACGAACCAGGCCCCGCTCGTCCGCTGCTCTGTTACACAGCACCTTTTGTGCTGCGCCTTGTCGGGAACGTGTGTGACTCAAAACGTACCTGGCGAGGTTCTGGGCTCCTCAGCACCGTCTGAGTGGGTGGGTGTGATAATTCCGTTCACCCTTCCTTCCCTTGTGAGGGCTCGGGGTGGCCCGTCGCAGCTCTGCACAGCCCCGAGCGTCTCACAGACCAGAGCGCAGTTAATGCACAAATACCGCCGGCGTTGCTGGCCAGTTTTTCTATTCCAGCTGCCAAAGAATTATCTGCATTGGTTCACTAAACGGTATTGTTAAAATCTGCTTTCTGAGCAGTGCTTTTAATTCTCATGGATCAAAAAATAAGACTGAATGAAAATAAATGTAACTCCATGTCTAAAAGGAACTGTTCCGCTCTAATGCTCATTTTAATGCTTAACGTAAACATCCCACTCTTAAAGAGAACAGGAAAGCAGAGTTTTCTAATCTCCTTACACTTTCCAGCTGTATTTTCATACTAGTGTGCTGAAATCAAACTGTTTCTGAAGGTTAATTTTATTTTAGAAATATCACTTTATCTATGTTTTTTTTTCTTCTAGCGGGATCTTTGATGACAACAAAGCTCTCACAGCCACAGTCTACACTGGCAAAAAGCCTAACCTCAACAAGTACAAACACTCCCTATTTTAAAGGTGTGGTATTATGTTGTTTCTTTGTTGTCTGTGAGCCCTTCTCAGTGTCTTGAGTCTGAAAGTTCTTGAATTATGTCTTAGAAACCTGTATATGCTTTCACAGTGGTAAGAGGCATTGTAATATAACACATTATGAATTACTCTTCAATGACCATAACAATTAGTTTCTAATTAGATAATTGGCCCATATAAGAACTAGAAAATGGCTGGTTAAACTGCCATTGTGATGTGATTGATGTGATTTATATCCTGTCAGGATGGTGGAAGTTCTTGAAAGACTCCAGCATTCTGCAAGAACTTGTTCCTATTCCCTATCCACCATCAGCACAGCTTTGTAGCTCACTGAGAGTGCATCAGAACTGCTGGCAAGAACAGCGTTTCAGTCAGTTTGAGAACTGATTCCGTGCACCTGCAAACAGCAAATGGCTGAGTGAGCTATAACCTTAATTAGAGCTGAACTAAAAGTAGGTTACCCATGTCACCCTGCTGCTGTATTAAAGTGATTACTTCTGAGAAATGCAGGCTGAGGTGGGACTAATCCATGTAAGCTCTGTTTTGGTTCTCTGCTGAAGTGTTGCCGTGGTGTCCTCTATGCAGCTTCTGTGTGAGAGTCCTGGGTGGGTGCCCTGCTTGCACTATGTGGCTCCTCTGGCCAGGAATGCTGCTCAGTGTGTAGTGAGGAAAGCCTTTTATAACATGTCCGTGTTTATATATGTATATATATTTAAAAATGCTATATATACTTTAGACTGTTTAGCTCTTTTAATTCAGTTTCTTAATTCATTTTTTGCCCCTTTCAGAAAGCACAGAAATTCCACCTTACATCATTAAGTGTCCCAGCAACGGGCTTTGCAGTAGGTTGCCACCAGACTGCATGACATGCAACACAAACTACTCCTGCATATATGGGAAGCCAGCCACTTTTGATTGCAAGGTCAAGCCACATGTTCATTGTGTTGTAAGTAACCTGTTACTTTTAATCCCAAATTTAAGTAATTGAACTGTGGCATCTTGTTTTAAAATCCAGAACATTGATGTCCAGGTTCTGATGTAGGCTGGTTTGTTGTTCTGTGATATGTTTGATCACCACTGTAGGCTGTTGCTGAAGAGGCAAGTCTGCCCTTCTGTGGTTTGCCTTTCTTGTGTTGGATCTTTTCATTACTTGGCCATGCCATTGAGTTGAACCAGTCCAACCATTCTGAGAGTGGGGAGACTAAATATCTATCAGAGCTACAAACTGACTTTATAGGTGAGACTGAATGAGTTCTCCTTTTGGAAGCAGCCTTTGATTGGAGGAATCAGGAGTGTTAAACTTGACTTTAATAACTCCTGGTTTTCTGATACTGATTTTTCTGATATACTTGGCTACATAAAAGAAGTAGCAAACAGAGTAATTTTGCCCAAAATGTACTTGGATACTGCACACTAATTTTGTTTTCAGTACTATGGAAGTGATAATGCTGTCCTTTTACAGGATGAGAATAACCATGAGCAGGAGAACTTCACAATTAACATGACATGTCAGTTTTGCTGGCAGCTTGCCACAAGTGACTATGTCTGCACCAACTCCACAAACTGCATGACAGTGTCCTGCCCACGACAACGATACAATGCCACTTGCACAGTCCGGGATCACATTCATTGTCTAGGTAAGGGGGGCTAAGCCTGATTCTGCAAAGCAGCTTTTTTCTAAAGTATTTCTTAACAGTTTTTGTAATGGGTGAATACAGTGTTTATGTCCATTGCAGTAACAGCCTGCACCCTGATTAATCTGTTGAATATTTTTATAGTTACGTTTTCATTTTCGAGCAGAATAGTGACATGTAACTGCAAACATTGTCTCATTATACTGTTGTATACTGTCACACAAGAGAAAATAATTCTTTTTATTTTTGTCAACTTGTGTGAGTTAAACTTATTTGGACATCACTAATAGAATTGATATCAAATGTGTCAGTAGGGTAATTAAAGAAATTTATGCTCGTTCCACCCAAGTAGTTTAATTTTTTTCCCTATTTGTTCAGTGGCTTTTCTGATGAAGGGACAAAGATTGATGGAACTTGGAACTATAGGGTGTATATTGTGTTGACAGCTGTTTTGTCAGCGTCAACCCTTTTAGACCCCTGTTGGAGAAATACAGTGTGTTCTTGCTTGTCGTTTTCTTACTCATTATATGGTCTTTGTTTATTACATTAAGGTTTTTATGTTTTCTAATATTTAGGTAACCGTGTCTTTCCTAAGATGCTCTATTGCAACTGGACTGGAGGTTATAAGTGGTCTACTGCCTTGGCACTAAGGTAGAGAAAAACTATTAGATAATGTCAAGCTAAAATTGATTAGTTGTCTATGAAATCTTCAATTTGTGTGGTTTTCTGCTTGGTATTTAACAGTGCACTGAATAACCAATATTTCAGATAGTCTTGGAATAGCTTGGAATGTGTGGGCATATTGTGCCTGAAGATTTCACATGCAACAATCCTGGCTCTCTTCAGTAAACAGAGCTGGAGAGAAAACAGTTACCCTAGTTCTGCTCTAAATGTACTTTCTTCAGAGTAAATGCCAATGGTTCTTAGGCTTCACAGAGTGATCAATTTTTTGAGTAGAGAGGACATTTTGGCTTTTATTTGTATGGTGATATCTGCAGATTTTTTGTTTTTTCTTACATTTTTTTCTATGTTTTTAAACAATTAGGGCTGGAAATTGCTTACATTACTACTTGGCATTTTTATTGAATGCAGCTGTTTCTGAATTTGATAGGATTCACTGAGCTGGCTGTAGTTTGTATACATTTGTTATGGGTTCTTTCCCAGCTCTTACAGCTAGAAATGCTTCCAGACCAAGTTTCTTGTGTTTCCAATCATTAGGGAAGAGTCCAGGGAAGCAATATTGAAACAAACAGTATAGGTTCTTTTTTGAGTAAGTCATGAGAGCACCACAACAGCAGTTTGAAAGTAACTGAAGTTCTTTTGGTGGTGTGATCTTTTTCACTAAATGTTAATATTTCAGAAGTGGTTAATATGATAAATTAGGTAGGGACACTATTCCTGGAGCCTAAGATACAGTAGGTCTGTGATTAAGGAAATGGTCTGGCATACTTCCCTTTAGAGGAAAAGTTGTTCTCGCTGCCATCATCTGGAGAAACTTACTGTAGCCTGGCTCCTGTGTGAGTCTGAATGTAGCATTTGGGAATTTACTATTGCTTCTTTGTTGCAGGTTTTTACCTTTTGCTAATTTTGAAGAGTCAAGACACATTCATGAATTTGAGAGTTTTGGGTTTCTTGCTTGTCATGAACAAAAACCTGAAGTCTCTACATAGTCTTAATGAGCTAAGAAATAGTAGTATTTTGTCCAGAGCTTTTCATATTAAATAACTGTTATTTTTCTACAAAAAATGTGTAGTTTCTTGAATGATGTAGAGCAAAACAATCATTGGCTTGTAGGTATGTCAGTGTGTATGGATGCCTAAACTGAGCTCCTCTGAAAATAATAATAACCATATTTTTATTCTTTTAGCATCACCCTTGGTGGATTTGGTGCCGATCGTTTCTATTTGGGCCAGTGGCGGGAAGGTCTGGGGAAACTCTTCAGCTTTGGAGGACTTGGAATATGGACACTAATCGATGTGCTGCTCATAGGTGTTGGCTATGTGGGACCTGCAGATGGTTCTCTTTATATTTAAATGTGGGTGAGGAGAGGAGTCATTGCCTGGGAAGGGCTCTAAATAAAAAAAAGAAGGTGAAGATTTGAGCCTTTAAGGTAGAATGAAGAACAACTGTTTGTTCTATGTGCATAGATTTTAATGTACAGTATCTGTACTTGGTTTGCCTTTCACTAAGGTGAAATAAAAGAGTGGATCACTGAGTAAGTCGAAATTAATTTCATTTATTCTATGGACATGTTATTTTTTATGAAAAAAGTTGAACTTGGATGATCTGTCAGGCCCCAAAAGGGATGCAAACTAACTTGAATATTGAATTTTTTTACTTCATATTTCTATGCTTAAATTTAACTTTAAAACTGACTTTCCTAAATATGTCAGTAATTTTTCTGTATTTGTGGAAGGATTCTTTATTTGCCTGAGTTATGCTGGTATTATGTAGATCACCATGTTTTATAATGTTAATTATATTAATCTCTTGTTTTAGGACATAGCAAGAGCTAACATCTGCCTGTGGACCTGACTTAAAATTAGGGGGGGGGTAGAATTAGCTTGCAGAAACACTAAAAGCTAAACATTAAATAATTGAAATAGTTTGGGTTTTTTTTTTATTGTTCTTTCTTTTGGTTGGGTTTGACCTTCATATCAGTGAAAAGTTACAGTTCCTATTATTGTGCTAGCAAGCTTGCCAAATTGCTTTAAAAAGGGGTTGGCAATGTAATCCATGAGTTTATCCACGTAGGACTTCGGGACATGATAATGTGGCGGACTAGTGCCATTACAGAAGAATAACTTTGTGTAGTAGCGGTAAATTCCCGGCGGTGTGTGCACGGTGCTGAAGCTGCCGCTGCTGCGGCACAGTCGGGCTGCAAATCGTATCGCTTGAATAAACTACGACTCGAAGCTTTTATGGCATTAAATACGAACAGTGTTTATTGTGATCTCACTTCGCTCCCTAGGCGGGAGGGAGCGGCGGCACCGGCCCCGCGCTGCCCGGGGAGTGTCGTCCCGCGGGTCCCGCTGGGGGGGGGCGGGCCCTGTGCCGGGGCGGTGCCACCGCCGTGACCCCGCGTGTCCCGCCCTCCGCCGGCACAGGCGCGGCCATGGCAGCAGAGCGGGACTGGGACCGGGATCTGCTTTTCTACCGGCGGCTGCCCAAAGCGGTGAGCGGTGGGAGGGCGGCCGGGCCTGGGCCCTTCCTGCGGCGGCCCCGGGCTCAGGCTTGGCCCCGGTCTCGGGCGGGAGCGGGGCGGCGGAGGCGGGGCTGGCAGAGCAGCCGCGCTGCAGGCGGGCGGACGGGCACATAGACACATACCCTGTCCCCCCCCTCACACACACACCCACAGACCCTTGCTGCTGCTAGCTCGGGAGTTTTTCTCCAACGCGCGTTTTCTGAGGCCCTTCACCCCACAGGAAAGTGTATGTGCCCTGTCCTGCTTGTTTATAGACCTCAGCGACTAATCTAATTCCACCTAAATCAGGCGTGCGTGATCTTCGGTTTACCTTTTTGTCCTCTTCCCTCCAGCCTGACCTAAAAAGTCTGGCTCAGATAATGCTTTTTTTTCCGTGTCCCAAGGGTGTGCCTTACTTAAGGCATATCTGTGCAAGCCTTGCATGTGGGTTCGTGCGGCTTTATCGCGGCTCCCGTGCCGCGCTTGCAAAACAGCCGATGGCACGTCCTGCAGGGCAGAACCTGCACAGATGCACGATGAGACAAGTTTCAGACCAAACTGTGAGAAATATCCCTAATTAAAATTTCAAAGTAAGCAACAGTAACATGATCACAACTATTAACAGGTCATGGCTGCAACAGAATTGCAACCACAGGCAACTGCAGAACACCCGTGGTCCCAAAACCTCCTCATCACGAGGCAACCATGGAAACCCTGCTTGTAATAAAACCGTTTCATTTATTTCTTACAATCCCCCCTTTCTCTTTTTCTCATGGTTTTATTACAAGCTAAATATTAGATGTTCTCATTGTCCTTTTGAGAATGTTCCCATTCCGCTAGTGTCTCTAATGCTTTGGTCTTATTTTTCACTTGCTTGGAACCAGGGCGTAGGACCATGATCATCTGTGTTTCCAGGTTCCCAGCTGCAGCATCTTTCGGATTCATCGGTATGGTGGTCAGGTGCATTCTTTGAACTACACTAAGGATTAACTTTATAAAACAGGAGTTAAACACGGCAAAAGTAACAGTCCAGCAAAGGCACACGAAGGAAGCTCAGCTGTTTCTGTCATGTCTTCCCAAATAAACTAGTCCACCATCCCTCTGATCCATGGTCTATTTTCCAGACATTGGTCACTATATTGGTTATTGCTCTTCTGCTGCCATCTATTTGTAAAAAACAGTTTGAAGTATTGAATTGACCACAGACCCCTCCTTCCTCTGCTAAGAGGTAATCTAACACCAGCCGGTTCTGGTATATGGCTGCTTTGCTTTGGGTTTGCTGGCAAGCCAGTAACTCCAAGCCTTGTGTGGTTTGGTTAGTAATTATTTCAATTACTGCTTGCAATTGTATTATTTGGCTGCACTTTCGGTTTATTATTGGTAACAATTTCTTCCTTTATTAAATTCTGGCTTTTTTCTCTGGATAAAATATCCCAACAAATCCACTCTTCACCTTCTGGGCAGTCCCACCCTAGTCTGGTTCTTGTCAGTCCCAAATTGGTAGCCAGTATTGTCTATCACCTTCTACACAAGTTCCTCGTTCATCTTTGTTATAACACGCTTTATTCACATTTTTGTGTACTCTAAAGACATGTATTACACCTTCTTTATAATAGATATTGTGGTAACATTTTAGACAGTTGTCTTCAACGGTACTAATCACCAGCTGTATCACTATTATAGTAAGTAGAGATGTGGTATGACATATGCCTCCACTCCCCATGCCTATTGGTTTGCAGCCAGCAGCAGGGTTAAAGATCTTCTTCGTGGCCGGTGCAGAGGTCAACCCGGTCTTGCCCTCTACTATGTTCTTTTTGTGATATTAAGGGCTAAAAGCCAGTGAAGTTATTATACCCGTTGTTGCACAAATCTTTTGTGCAATGACAGTAATGTTTGACTCACAGCATTCTATATAAAGAGATGATGTATTCACAGTTATCACACTTTAAGCCTATCTCTTGGGTTTGTATCTTGCCCTTACAGTTTGGCTGATACTTCACCAGTGTCCCTTCCCATGAATGAGATCCTGTTTTGCTCCACAGCAAGATGATGTCTTTCTGCAATCCTTCTTCTTGAATTCTGCAAGAGATTCACTTTTGAGTTATTTTCAGCTTGGGGTAGTCCCCTTGGCATTCCCATTCAGGGACAACGGAGGGGGGGCATTACTGGCCCTTTGACTCTTGCACTATGGGTCCATCCTTTCTCGACTGTCCTCACAGCTGTTTCAGTAGTCAGTACCACCTAGTAAGGTCCCTCCCATTCTGGTTTTAGTGACTTCTCCTTCCAAGTCTTTACTAGAAGCCAGTCCCCTGCAGAAATGTTGTGAATTTTCATTTCCAGTTTCACAGTTCGAGCAGTAATCCTCATTGCCTGAGATTTTCTAGTCTTTTTGCTATTTCTATAATATATTCCCTGAGAGGCTTATCACCCATTTCCACGGTAGGGGTCTTACTACTATTTTTATGACATGCGGGATAAGGTAACCCAAATAACATTTCATAAGGAGACAGATTCAAGTCCCGCCTGGGGGCCGTTCTGATTTGAAAAAGGGCCAGAGGTAAGCGTTTGGTCCAGGGAAGCCCTGTTTCTAATGTTAATTTGGTGATTGTTCACTTCAAGATTTGATTCATATGTTCTACTCTCCCTGAACTCTGGATGCCATGGAATGTGATACTGCCAATTTATCTGCAAAGCTTTGCATATTATTTTTAGGAGCTTTGAGGTAAAATGTGGTTCCTGGTCAGAGCTGATAGTTTCAGGTATCCCAAGCCTAGGGATTATTTGCTCCAATAATACTTTAGCTGCACTTTGTGCAGTAGCTCTTAGGACTGGGAGTGCCTCCACCCAGTGAGTTAAATGATCTACAATTACGAGGAGATATTTCCATCACTGCACTAGAGGTAATTCTGTAAAATCTTCTTGGATCTTTTGGAAAGGTTGACTGGCAAGTTCTCGTTCCCAGGAGGACGAGTTCTTTGCACTTTCTTATTAACCTTTTGACAAACTGAACATTGATCAGTTATTTGTTTTGTAATGGTATATATCCCCAAATAGCCATAAGTTCTTAGGAATGTTTCTGCTAAAACCTGGGCTACCCAATGAGTGCTGCTGTGCAACTCTTTTAGTAATTCTCATGTAATTGCTTCAGATAACATTTGTCTCCCATCTGGAAGGAGCCATTTCCCTTCTACATTCTTTTTGGCTCCTATTCCAATTAATTTCTGTTCTTCTCCTTCTGTTGGTTGCGGAATTTCTCTTGGCATTGGCATTAGAGCCATTATACTAACTTCAGGTACGTTGTGACTCAAGACTGCTTCTCGAGCCACCTGGTCAGCTCTCCTGTTTCCTTGACAGATTACATCTTTCTCTTTCTGATGCCCTCTAACATGCACAACTGCAATTTCCCAAGGTCACTGAATTTCTTCCAACAACGTCTCTAGAAGTTCATAATGACTCAAGTTCTTCCCCTGAGATGTCATCATACCTCTTTCATACCAGATTTTTCCGAACATATGTACCACTCCCCAGGCATACCTTGAGTCAGTATAGATGGTTCCTATTCATTCTCCTACTATCTGTAATGCACTAATTACAGTATATATTTCACATGCTTGAGCTGACCAGTCACTTGGAAGGATTCCTGATTCTACTACAGTGAACCCTTCCTTATACACCACTGTGTAACCGCTTTTCTGTGAACCGTCAGTGAATAGATGTGTTCTCCCTTCTATTGGACGTTCTAGTAAGTCTTCTCTCACCTTCGTTTGGTAATTTATGATGTCTAAGTAGTTATGCTCCACTTGGTATTCTGTCTGTTTCTATCCATATAAAAACTGAGAAGGATCTGCACATGAATTGATAGTCAGGGTAAGGTCATCTCTTTCCATCAATATGGTTTCATATTTTAAAATTCACAAGTCTGTCATCCACCTTCCTGGTCTCTGGGTCAAAATTGTTCTTACTGTATGTGGAGTGTGCACTCTGATCTTCGCTCCAAAGATCAGTTTTCTAGTTTCTTCTACCAGTATTGCTGTGGCCGCTACTGACTGCACACAAGTTGGCCATCCCCTGATCACTGGGTCTAAGAACTTTGATAAGAAAGCCACGGGTTTTCTGACTCCTCCCCACTCCTGGGTCACTACCCCTTTTGCTATACCTTCTGAGGTACTGACACAAAGATCGAAAGGCTTTTTTAGATCTGGTAGTGGTAGTACTGGAGCCTGAATCAAGACTTCTTTTAGTTTTCCAAATTTTTCTTGTTCTTCTGAGGAATATTCTGCCCAATTACCTCTCTCAGAGGTCCCCTCTCCTAATTTCTTATACAGAAATTTGGTTCTACTACTATAATCTGGAATCCATAATCTACAGAACCCCACTAATCCTAAAAATTTTCTTATTTCCCTCTTTGTTTTTGGTAGGGGAAGGTCTAGTATTCCTTTTATTCTTTCTAGGTCTAGTTTCTTTTCTCCTCCCTTTATGATGTGCCCTAAGTATTTCACCTCTTTCTCTACGAACTGAAGTTTATTCTTTGACACTCTCAGCCTCTGTTCCTCCCAAAAATTTAACAACTGCACTGTCTCTCTCTCCACTCCTGTTTTGGTTTTTCCTGCTACTAGTAGATCATCTACATATTGTAGGATGGTAGTTCCTTTATATGGACTGAATTTCATCATTATGCTTTCTAGAGCTTGTCCAAAGAGGTTGGGTGCTTTGGAGAACCTCTGGAGTAGCGCTGTCCATCTTAACTGTTGTTTTTTCCCGGTGTCTGGATCCTCCCACTCAAATGCAAAAATATCTCGAGACCCCTCATCCAATGGGCATGCCCAGAATGCATCCTTTAGATCAATTACTGAAAACCATTCACATCCATTATAGTACATGGATTGGGAACAACCAGGTGTTATGTCCAAACTATTTTATTGATCTCACGTAAATCTTGAACTAATCAATATGTCCCATCACTTTACTGGTAGGATGGGAGTATTATATGGAGACATGCAAAATTCTAACAGCCCCTCCTGAATCAATTTCTTTATAATTTGGGATAACCGTTTTCTCTCCTCTGGGCAGATGGGGTATTGCCTAATCTGAACAGGGGCTTCTGTATATAGTTTTACTGAAAAAGGCTCTATTTTCAGTCTTTCCCTATTACCATCTTCTGGAATTATACTTGTGGATTTATATTTAGACCTTTACTTAATACAAAAAATTTAACTAAGTTCTTATCCTTGAGGTATTAATCCTATCCCCAATGGCTCCATTAAATCTCTCCCCAACAAATTTGTTCCAGCTTGGGGCACTATCAATAAATCCCTTTCCAGTATTTTCCCATTTCACCGTATTAATCCTGAGGATGCTACAAAAACTTCAGATTTTTCTCCCTTATCTCTCACTGCAGTAACTTTCTGATCAGATACTTGTGCTCCTAAGGGGGGCTGAGTTACATATGTTCGCTGAGGCCCCGAATCCACCTGAAAGGTGGTGTCTTCCTCCTGGGGTCCTAATTTCAGGTTTATCAAGGGCTCCCTTTCTGTTTCTAACCCCAGGAGGAAGAGAAGCCCCTGACACCCCTAATCTGAGCTCTCATGTAGTCGGAAGACATGGATATCCTTCTGTCGCTCTGGACACTCTCTCCTGAAATGTCCTATTTTCCCACAATAATAGCACTCTCTCTTCCTCTCTTGTACAGGTGGGCAGGTTAGGTTTTCTCCTAGCTTTTGTGACACTCGAGGAGGTCTCCTGGAAATCTGAACTTCTTGTTCCTTGCTGCCTCCATGTTTACTATGCCTATTCTGTGGCATCTTTGCATATCCCTGCCCTATAACCTGTCTTTCCTCTTGTTTGTTCACTTCTTTAACTGTGGCTACCATTAGCCGGGTCTTTTGTTTCTGTCTCTCCTCATGCCTCTGAACATATACTTTCTGCGCTTCCTTTAACAATTCATTCAGATCTTTTTCACTTCCAGTTTCTCTAACTTTTTCCTAAGATCTATCCACAAATGAGTCACAAAGCTGGCCTTCAATAACTGCTGCCCCGTCGGAGTATCTAATTAACTCCTGAATATTGCTGTATATTTCTCTTTAGTCTCTCCAACCATTCAGTCGGTGACTGATACCTTCCCTGTCTCCCATCAAAGGCCTTGACCATATTCTGTACCCAGGGTGCTGCTTCCCTAATCCCTGTCACAATACAATTCCAATAATCTATAATATTTTGTCTTCCCTTCTGTGTATTCTGATTCCAGTTTGGACAAACCACAGGCATATTCTCTTCTCCATTTTGACCATGCACCCCTGGGGATGTTCCCTATCCCACACACAGATTCCTGCTGCTCTAATCATGTTCATTTCCTCTACAGAAAATAATATTCCTATTATACTTTGCATTTCTTCCCATGTGTATACACTAGGTCCTAAGAACTGATCAAATTGCTCTGCTAGACCTGATGGATCTTCTAGAAGTTTTTTCATTCCTTTTATAAATTCTCGTACTTCAGCGCATGTTAAAGGAACATTCACATAACCTATGCCCCCTTCTGCTCCCTGCATTGGAACCTCTCTAAGGGGATACAGTTCCTTGGGTGTCTCTGAATCCTGCCCCCTCCTGGCTCTACTCTGTGTCTGGGGAGGACTCGGAGAAGGTGCGAAGGTCGGGTCTTGCACCTCATTCTCCCCAGGATTAAGCGGGGGAGGATTTGGGATCATATTACCTGAAAGATTGTCCGAAGGATCCCACTCAGAACTCTTTTTCTGATCTCTTTGTTCACTACTTGCTGTATGAAACAGGAATAGCCCAATAGACCCTGTCCAGCAGGCGGCATATCCTCTCTCCTCTGTATTCCACAGTTCCCTTCTATTCACATAAACATTCAGTGCCTGACAAATCCAGTCTTCAAACGAACCAAACTGAGGCCAGTAAACGTTGTCTGATCATATGGTACTTTTTGTCCATCCATACATACAGTACTGAATCATGACTGCCTTGTCTTTACCCTGAGTTTTCCCTGATTCGTCCCATGTGTCTAACATTCTACCCAGCGGGCTCTCTTGTGGAATACTGGGGGTCTTTTTTGACCCCCCCTTTCCTGGGGATCTTTTACTTTTGCCCACCCCCATCCTGAGATGTTGGGACTCACACACTTCGGGATTTAATCTTCCCTTGGTACGCACACTTTTCATGTTCTTAAAGCTTTGCTTTAAGCCAAAGCTGAAAACCAAGAAATTCTGTCTAAACCTGAAAGCAGTCGAAAAATCTCCAGCTAAAAACCAAAAAGCTGCCAAAATCGTTCCAGCTAGAAACTGAAAAGCTGCTGAAAACCTTCTGGCTAGAAACCAAAAGACCACCAAAAACTTTCTGGCTAGAGACTGAGAAGCCGAAGGGCTTCAAAAGCCGCCAGGATCCACCCGCTAAAACCGAAAGCTGTCATAATCTTCTGAAAGCCACCAAGAGTCTCCAGCTAAACCCAAAAGTTGCTGAAAGGCTTCAGAAGCTGCCAGAAGTCTCCCGCCCTTGCTATCCGAGTTGAACGACATGGGTCGACTCCTATAACCCCAACCGCTCTGAAAGCTCTCTCTTTAAACTGGGTCACCTTCAAAATGCTCTCTCCCTCTGGTTCAACCTGAAAACACCCTCACTCTAAATCGGGTCCCCCTGAGAGGCTGTCTCCCCTCCGGTTCCACTCAAAACCACCCACACTCTAAATCTAAAACTACCCGTGGTTGTCCACCCTGGGGTGTATTCCACTCTTGCTTCACAACAATCACTTTGTCCCTTAACCGGCCAATCCCTTCACAGGGATATGGAACCGCGGTTAGAAGGATTCCACATTTGCTTCGTATCTTTAGACATGTCTCAGTCACACAAATGCACACTTCCCTGATCCCCCTCCCCACCTGATATTTCGGGGAAAATCTTCCCTATCTTACCAGGTTTTGTATACGAAGTTTGACAATTGCCGTGGATTGATTTTTATACCAGGTCTGGTTTTCCCTTTTTTTTGTTTCATGCCGTCTGTCCTAGGATTCTCCATCGCAACCATCTCAGGTGAGGGCACAGGTCTCTGGACCACCGAAATATGTAGAGCACACCTTTCAGGTTCACTGGTCCCTCACCCAGACCAGGAGCTCTCCTGGCCGAGCCCCCAGAATTGTGAGAAATATCTCTAATTAAAATTTTGAAGACCAAATAAAGTGCAACAAAGAAATTTATTTTCAGCGCACGCTGGGTGTAGTCAGGTCTGCCTGATGCCAGGGCCTGAGACCACACCCGAGATGGGAGGGGGCAGTTCTTTTAAGGTCTCTCAATTTGCATAACTATTCCCTCGTCCCTCCCATGCTCAGCTCTGCTCCTTTTCTTCCTTAAAAGGCGATACAGCCTTTTTCTTGAGTTCAACTGGGTCTCTCAGGGCCAGCTTTTACTTCCCTGTGCCAGTCCATTGGTTGTCTTAACCAACCTATCAGGTTGTTTCCCCGTCTCGGCCGCGTGGTCCCTTGGCAATGAGCCCTGGCTGGTCTCGTTGTCTTACAGGCTTCCCGGTTTGCCTCTACACAGCGATAATAAGCAACAGTAACATGATCACAACTATTAACAGGTCATGGCTGCAACAGAATTTCAGCTACAGGCAACTGCAAAACACCCCTGGTCACAAAAACTCCTCATCACAAGGCAACCGTGGAAACCCTGCTTGTAATAAAACCATTTCATTTATTTCTTACAACACCATCCTTGTATTCTCGTGCTCCTTTTCAGTAAGTCATTTTTCAGGGTGTATTTTTACTGTCTGAGAGAATTCTGTGAGGTGTTTCAATTGTAAGCTTGTGAAAAATGTAAGGTAGTCACAGCACGGTGTATCTGGCTCGGCTTCCTGAAGCAGTAAGCAGCCACAGCTCCTGGTGCTTACCTGGAGTTACAATTTCAACATGTTTTCCAGTGAAAGACATGAAGAAATATTTCTCCAGTTTTTCTAGTGAGAGGAATGTGTACAGGGGGATGAAGTTCATAGGACTTTTTTTCTATAGGAACTGCATGCTCATTTGAATGGCTGTATCAGTTCTGCCACCATGAAGAAACTCATGGCCCAGAAACCAAACCTTCAGATCCAGAATGGAATGACTGTGATTGACAAAGGAAAGAAAAGAACCTTGGAGGAGTGAGTATGCACATGTATGTGATTAACTGAGGGTTTTTTAAGCTGAAAACAGAGAAATGTGTGGCCTTATACACTGATTGCAGAAAATAAATTTCAAGTTTCCTAGTATAATTGTTAGATATTTTTGATAGTTGTATCTACAGAATAACTTCTTAGGTGCTTGCAGACCACAAGGAAACCTCATGTAATTAATTCCATCTTTAAAGGATTGAAATTTTTTACTTACTTATGCTTTTCAGAGAAAATTGACTCACAGACTTTCCTGTTTTTGGAAGCTTCGTGTTTTCCTTTGTGCTTCAAAAAACTTTGTGATAATAATAATAACAATAACTTTTGTTGCAAATGCTTTGTTAGCATCTAAAACCAGAAAGTGCTGTTCAGATAGTCTTTTTATTTCAAGCTGTAGGGTGGTTAATTTACCTATTGAATACGTGTTTTCAGAGCATAGGTTTTATTTTTTTCTGAATACTGATTCAATGTTTGTTCATTTTACTTTTTATTTTAGATGTTTTCAGATGTTTCAGATCATCTATCAGTTTACCACTAGGACTGAGGATATTTTACTGGTAAGTTAAATAAAAGTTCATTTAAAAAAAGCAAACAGTACACACAGTTGGATTAAGAGCATTGGGTTCCAAGTAAGTGGTGTGGTGTCCTCTTCTTCCCCAACTGTGAGGGGCTGACAGCCAGCCTGTAAAACATAGAGAGAGGTACAGAGCTGTGCAGGAGGTTGTGACTGCAGCAGACTGCACTGAGGGGGATTCCTGTTCAGGAAATTCTCATTTGTCCTAGCTTTCCTCAGTATCCCTGAGGGAGTGGAATGTGCCCTCTGTGGGGTGGCATTTCCCGAAATGGAGAGTCCTAAAAACATATCAGGGACTGAAAATGTTACAAGGGTTTCACAACAAACAATAAGTGGGTCTTCTAGTTCTAAAGAAAAATATAAGCAATTATAAGCATTACTTTTGTGATGCTGAATACACTGTTACTTAATCAGATAACTAAAGATGTCATTAAAGAATTTGCTGATGACGGTGTCAAGTATCTGGAATTGAGGAGCACTCCAAGAGAAGAAAAGTCCACAGGTACAGTCTGTTCTGGTTTTCAATTTGTAAACTTGATGCCCTATAAAACTTAGTTAAAGACTATGTTAATAACAAGTAAAGTCAAATTTATTTGGCTCAATAAAAATACATATATTTTAAATATGAAACCAAAGGTTTAACCATGTAAAAGCATATTTTTGAGGAGAAAAATGTGTTGATTATAATATATATAATATATATATTGGTTATAATATATACTACCTAAGAGTTTGGGTTATTTGCTTATGACATCTGAGTCTGTTAATATTCTTAAGAGCTGATCTATTTTATTTTTATTACTTCACTTTTTGCTTTCTTTCAGATACAGTTTAATAGAAACACATAAGAGAAATCCTGTTATGACTCTCTGGTTCCCAGAAAGTTGTTTTCAATTTTCCAGATGCTTAGGAGGAGGTTTAGCTCAAACGTATGCTTCACAGTAAAGCTACATTTACAGCTAGAATTAGAATTATATGGATTAGAAGACTATGGAGTAAAATCAAATGTGCAAAATGAAACTTAGGAGGCTAGAGAGCTGAGCCTGCAGTATAATGAAATTAATTAAAATATGTTTGTTACAAATGTATGTGTTTGTAGGTATGACCAAAAGGATGTATGTTGAAACTGTACTTGAGGGTATAAAGCAGTGTCAAGAGGAAGGCTTGGATATAGATGTAAGGTAAATAAAGCATGTGGATTACCTCTTTTCCAAGGTTCTGTGTAGTTTGGTGCTTGATCACGTTTGCAGAGAGGTTTAAAAGCCATCAGTGTAGGAAAGAGAATTGGATTTAAACTAGATTACATGGAATGGGAACAGCTAATACACATGGGAAGCTGAATTTTTATCTTTTTTACTCCTAGAGAAGGAAACTGGATGTAAAACTTCTCAACTTTAAGCCTGTCTGTTCTCTGCAACATTTTCAGGAAAAACAGTGTTTTTCATGGAATTTGCATTAAAGGTTCCTTTTTCATAGCCTAGATTCATTGCAAAGGTTTTGCTTGATTAACTGTACAAGCAACCTGCTGTAAAGGAGAGCTGGTCCTGACCAGCAGAGAAGTTTCAGAAGGTGTCAGTGTCTGCTTGGAGGTGGTCTGTTCACCTGTCTCTTAGAGTCTCAGCAGCAACCCTTACCAGATTTTTTTTGTGGAAGCTGAAGAATTCTCATCCTTCATGTGTGCTATTGCATGTCACGGGCCAACCTATTTATCTATTTATGTCCCTCTGCACTTTGGTACCTTCATTCCTTTGAGTCGTTTCCTATACAAATAGTCTTTATGTTCAACCATGAAGGATGTAAAGTGCCATTTTTGTTGGTATCAGATCTGTTGAGCTCCTGATATTACAGCTTGTATATAATTTAATACATGCATTTCTATTCCAGATTGTTAATAGCAATAAACAGAAGAGATGGCCCAGCAGTTGCTAAGCAGACTGTTAAGCTTGCTGAAGAGTTCCTGCTTTCCAGTGATGGGGTTGTAGTAGGGCTTGACTTCAGTGGTGATCCCACTGTAAGTTTTTGGTTCATTTTGGCCTTTTCTTGAAGATAAACATGTACTGTGGCATAAGAGCAAGCAGTTCTAACCATGCTTTGTTCCTACAAATTTTTGCCCGATGTTGTTGCTAGTTGGAATGGATTGCCTTTAATCTTGCTACCAGGTTGCTGTAAGGGGCAAATATTCTAACAAAACCCCAATAGATTAATATGTGAGTCTGAGAAAAGAGCCACTGAAATGTAGTGTTTATCTGGTATGTGTCTGTAACTGAGTTGTCCCGGTCAGATTGGCTGGGTGGAGGGAAGTTGACTAGTTTTGATTAGTTGACTAGTTCAGTAGTTGACTAGTGATGATTTTCCTTAGCTGCACCAAATGCTTACTGTATACTAAGAAAGCATAAATATTCAAGGACAGCTGTGGAATAACTCTGGGTGGGAGCTGTATAAAAGGTATCAAAATCAACACAATGGGATTGTAAGTTTTGGGCATCATCTGAGCTGCTGATGTTTGCCTCGTTTGTCTAAGTTGGCAGAAGGCTGTGTGACTTCCTGCATTCATTCCAAGTGAAGTAATGGGAAAAGAGAAATATTCAAGGTAACTGCATTTGAATGAAGTATTTTGATAGTTTCTCAATTATGGCAGTGGCAGGGGTTTTGTCAAATAAGCTCTAGAATGGTAATGTGAATCTGTTTTCCAGGCAGGACATGGTCAAGATTTTTTGGAGCCACTTTCAGAAGCAAAAAAAGCAGGTCTAAAGCTGGCATTGCATCTTTCTGAGGTAAAATTTTTCCTTATTTTGGTACCTCTCTGTAATTCCCACTTCAGGAAAAGCTTGATGAAACTAAAATTACCTTCTGTGCATTTTGAACTTCTCAGGCCAAGCTATTAATGGTTTGGAGCATTTGTCAAGGGAGAGGAAAACAAGGAGAAATCTTCAACAATCAGAATCAGAATAGTAAATGCGAATCAGAATAGTGAAATTATTCCTTCCTGTGCTATATTGGGATGTTAGGTGTGAAATTGAAATTAGTAACATTCTAAGATATCCATTGTTTTCTTCCTTTGTTTTTTACTGTAAATCTTGTATAATGAAATCTGCACAGTTTCATAAGTACTGAGCTCTCTTAGCATTGCTTGAATTAATAGAGAGTTGGGCTGTGCCATACAATCTGCTGAAGTGGTAACTGGAGTTTACTCTGACAAATCTGATAAATACTGAAGTCGGTTTTATTTCTTCAGGAAATTAAGCAGGACATAGGATGTCACAGGTCTATTTATACTTGTTCCTATTTCACTATCACTTTCTTTTGGGTAAGAGATGCTTTAAAAAAAGAACTTGAAGTCCATTGTAACTATTTCATACACTGCCTTGACAGAATGTAAAATATTTCTCCTCTAGATTCCAAATCAAGAAGAGGAGACCAAAATTCTCCTGGGCCTGCCTCCTGACAGAATTGGACATGGAACATTTCTCAGCTCCACAGCAGCAGGTTCAGAAGAGTTAGTGTCAATTGTTCGACAGAACCAGATACCTATTGGTAAGGAAAAAAATATTAACAATGGCTCTATCTCTAGATTTCAGAATGACATGTGGACTGCTGATCTAGTGACTCCAGTTTGTCTTGGACCAGATGTGGCTTAGGCAAACATGGCAGGGAGAATTGCCATCAAGGTACACTCATAATGCATTGGGGATTTTTGATGTGTTTGTGGCAGCAGACAATTGATGTCTCAGATCAAAACAAAAGTAAGTTATAACTTATAGTTACTGTGCAAGACTGGTGATTCTGTATGTGGTTTGCAAGCTCCCTAACTCTTACACCCTGTAGAAATTGATTGCAAAACTTTCTTCAGAAGAAGTTACCAAAGAAGCAATTAGAAAATAGAGGAAACAACAGTAGCTGATTTTAATTTTTATTCAGGAACAGAAATAAGTCAATTAACATGTCAAAAACATGTCTCTCATTTTGATATATATCCTAATTTCTCTTTTTTTTTTTTCCATAGAACTTTGTGTGACATCAAACATTAAATCTCAGACGGTGCCTTCCTGTGGCAAACATCATTTTGGATACTGGTACAGCATGGGCCATCCTGCAGTACTCTGTGTAAGTTTTTTGATATTAACCATTTATTAAGGCAAAGAGCCAAACTAATGTGAAGTTGGAGAAGCATTTCCGCTTTTATGGATCAGAGCTGACTTACAGATTCTGACCTTGTAGCAAATCATTCACTTTTAGGAAATCAGAATGCTCAGTCTGAGAAATGCTTGTAATACAAACAGGAAATGATAATTAATACCTCTCTTGGTTCTGTTGTAAAGCCAGGTCTTTTTTCTGTGTGGATAAGGTGATCAGCTATACATGCAATGACCTTCATATCTGTTTGCATACTGACAGGTTTCTTTTAAAACAGACAGTCCAGTGCTTGCACACACACTTGTGTGTACCAGGGGGTTCATTGTGTTGGGTGAGAGTTCTTGTGTTCTCTTGACAGCTCGTTAAGGTCCTTAAACACTGAGGTGTCAAGTACTTATGCTACCATTTGGCAGGATTTTACTATCATCCTGTTGGTTTAACCCCCATAACCTGTAGCATTGTCCATGTGTGTGTATATAAATATAATAGCATTGTGCTTATTATTAAAATAAGCCTCAATCCTTTATTGTGTAAAGGGTCAGAGAGTTTCTTCCCTGGAGATGCGGAACACAGATTATGCTCTAGTTCCCAGATCTAAGGAAAGAGAAAAGAGGAATAAGGAGACCTGCACATAACTTGAATGTATGCAGCATTTGATAGCCATCTTTTCAGCAATTTTAATAGGGAATCCTGTTTTCTTGATAAATTATGCCATCATTTTAAGAGGTTTTCTTATATGTTTGAATAGTTAATTCATTTTGAGTGAAAATAGGGCAAATAGAGATGAAATAATTATGCACAGATGAAAGAACTGTGGAATAAAATATGAGACAGGAAGATAAAAGTGGTTTGTATGTATAGAAAGAGACTTTTTTGATGTAGAGAAACTAATTTAACCTTTTTTTTCCTTTCTTTCAATGTAACTCCAGACTGATGATAAAGGCATCTTTGCAACCGAACTATCACAAGAGTATGAGGTGGTTGCAAAAACATTTAATTTGACTCGATCACAGATGTGGGATCTTTCCTATGAATCAATCAACTATATTTTTGCTTCAAATGCAGTGAAATCCAAGCTCAGGGAACAATGGTGTAAACTGAAGCCAGCTCTGTTTGATTAATCAAATTGTTGTTCTAAACAGCTCAGGTGTATTAGGTGAGTTAATAACCATTTTTTACTGAAGACCCTATGTTTTTTTCAGACTTCAGGGTTATAAACCCAGCCAGAAACTGCTTGTGCAAAATGAAGATGATGGGAACGCATCCTTTGTTAGTGGGGACAGAAGTAAATATTCTTTTATAGTTGGGAGGGGCTCTCAACCAGTGACCAAAACTCCAAATGTGTTGTCACATTGTTTCTCTTTAGCTGATATGCCATTTAAAAAAAATACTTAGTTGAAATATGTCATTATAATATAAATATTTGAGAGCTGGAACAAAATGAAGGCATGGCTGTCAGTGTTTCAAGTGTCTCTGTTGGCAGCGTTTCTCCAAGCAGTTTTGGATGTGTAGTGCATATATCTGGGGGTTGTACTGTTTTCGGGTTTTGAGCAGTTAATTGAATGTGAAGACACAAACAAAGTCAGGGAGAGTGAAATGTTTGTCCCAAAGAAATTTAATATTTTCTCTGTTTTTATTGCTGTACATGTATGACTGAAGCTGCTGTGGATTGTGTAGCACATGGGGGTCTCTGCTGGTGCTCTCAGCAATGGTGGCGTTCAGGCAGTTGAGAATCTTGAACGCCTTTGGTAACTGAGCTACTTGTGCGAAGTGATCTCGTTCTTAAAATGCTTTTTAGAGTTGCTGTTTGTTGTGTTAAAAAAAAGCAATAAAAATATCCTCAACCTCTATGGTTTTGAAACCACCCATTTGAGATGGGGATGTGCATGTTTAAGCTATACAGAAGAGAAGTAAGATTCCCTGGGGGTGAGTGGAGCAGATGAGCTGCCTGCCAGCCACAAAACTGCAACCAGGGCTCCCTGCCTCGGGCAGCAACAGGGTTCACTGTGCCCTCCCTGTGCACTTGTGTGTGTGTTTTGGTACTGAGAGTTCAGAATGTCTCTGAACATGCACATGCATCAGTATCCAACACTGAGCATTGCTGGCTAGTGCAGGAAGTATCTGGAGAGAAGGTGTTTCCTACCTACAGTCCTTTTACATTGATTAATTAAACAAGCAAACGTTCTTTTTGCTCCATGAGGAATACTGAATGTGTGTCTAATGCTATAAAAGCTGTTCGTAATACAGTCAGTATAATGTAGCTCTGGCTCCTAAGTGGAAATAAGGGTGGGGAGGAGGATAGCAAAGAAGTTGGTATGCCTGTGTGTCTACTGGAGGTTTCCACAGAATGTTTTCCAAGATGAAAACATATTCCTTTTGGAGATGCAGGGAAATTATGTGGAGCAACCTTGTCGGTTTATATATTATCTGAACCAGAATAAGACCATGTGTTGACTTCTTCTATATAAGCACTACTTTAAATTACTTTCCAAGTAGTTTCACTGGTGACATTATCATTTACTGTTTGATCATGCTTGTCTGTATTTTCTTTTAACAAAAATAATTACCATGGCAAGTGTATTTTTTCTTTCTTATTAAAAGCTCTCTGAAGACAGGTGGAGCAGCTTTCCGGAATTTTATAGTTAGTCATCTCAAATAAGATGGCGTTCTCTTATAAGTTTTATTGTATTTCATAGCTCATGGCCTTCTAATAACTCTTCAGTAACACAGTATTTGATTTATTATTGAAGAAAAACTGTAGACTTCCTATTTGCTTACTAAGGAATCATCCTCAGTGTTCATTGTATCATGTGTAAAATTTTCTAAAGCAAAATAGGACTCATCATTAGTGTCCGAGACTTTTAGTTCCAAACTGTTAGTGTTATATGGAAGTAAGTTGGATTTTTAAGGTTTTTGTGTGGAATGTGACATGTAGAAGTGTTAATTCCCAGAGCATAGCCATTTAATTCCCATAGCATATGCTGATATTTTCAACTTCCTTGTTTTCGTGCAAGTATACAATGTCTTACAGATTTTTTAACAATATGGATTATTACATACAATTCCTAATATTTCTATTTAATTTACTTCTGTGTGTCTTCATGGTACTACCTCGCATCAGCTGTAGTGCTGCCCCCAAATAGTTTGGTATACGATGGTACATGGATGCTACATAGTTTTATAATTAAAAAAAACAACCAGCTTCCCTGTTTATTCCTGACACAAGCATTTGGAAATAGTGAACCAGTGCAGTTGTATGTAATCTGGAGTTCTGGAATCCCTCTTCTGAAGATTTACCCTGTAACTAAGATATTTGCAGGTGATTTTAAAAACCACCACTTAGTATTTAACAGTATTTATAGTATCTTAGTAAAGGGAGTTAGGAGGTAACTTGGACAATTCCATTTGTGTGCAGTAAAAGAACCAGGAATGTATGTAGGTGGCTGAGGAACAACAGACAGAATCAGTACACACGACTCTTAACTGTTACTGAGGTTGTTTACACTGCAGAAGTGTTGTGCTTAGGAAATTGGACAGGATGTGGACTTTTGGAATGAAGAATCACCATCCGATGAGACCTTTGTCATGCACAGTTCCCAGGCTGTTAGAACCTGAAACCCTCTTACTGTCTCTGGGCTAGTTTTTCAGAGTTTAACTATTATAAGTAAAACTGCAGTTTCCTTCTTTGGCATCAGGTAGGATTATAGTTAATTTTAATTTAAACACTTCTTGCTGAGCCTGTTAAATCCCGAGTTAGCAGTGACCACTGTTTAGTTTATAATGTTATATAAAAATGAGTGTGACACACAGTCACAGTGAAGCATCACCACAGAATTAACCATCACTAGTGGGGCAGAGGACTTTTTTTCCTTGAATGCAATGGAAATTTTGTGTAACTACTACTAGAATTACATGGTATAAGATGAGGTTTAAGTTATCTATTCAGGTGCAACTCAACTTATTTTTAAAGTAAACAAAATAGATCTAGACAGAGTTAATATTTTTGTTTATTTCCATCTGATTATATAAGAGAACATTTACAGAGCAGTCTCCAATGCTCAGTCTTTACTCACATCACATGAAAATACACACTGGTCTTACTAAAAAATACTGCTTTGGCAATGTACACGAGAACAAATGCTCACTGTGGCTCAACTTCCTCAATTCCTTTTTGAGGCAAACAGAAAGTCTTCAAAACCTGAGCTCTCTATGATAAGACTGGTAACATACCACCCTTCTCATATTACAGCCACTAAACTGTAAGTATTTACACACTGCTCTTCAGGATCCTAGCTCTGCAAATGACGTACTTACATGAATGATTTATATGTCCGTCTGGATGTTTAGGCATTTCAAAATAATACATTAAAGAAATGGATGCAGGTAAGAGCAGTGCTCTAGCAAAGTGATTCAGCTGATTAAAAGGCTGGCACATCCCTCTTGTGAGGCCTAGAGAGCAGGCACTGGTTAGACTGGAGAAGAGAGGGCTCTGGGGACAGATCTCATCAGTTTTTAAATACCTCATAGGAAGCAGTAAAGAACACAGAACTAGGCACTTCTCAGCGATACGCAGTAACAGGAAAAGGGGAACAAACTGGAACATAGAAATTGCACCTGAATATAAAGAAACACTTTTGTGCTGTGTGGGTGGTTGAACGTGGAAACACATCATCCAGACAGGCAAATGCTCAAACCACTCAGTGACTTCTTGTAGCTTGAGACAAGGAGGTGGACTGGGCAATCTCCAGAGATGCCTTCCAACCTCACCTGTTCTGTGGAGAAAATATACAAATATACAAATGATAAAGTCTCTATATGAATACAAAAGCTTCTAAAATTAAATACTCGCTTAACTCAGTCATTCAAGAGAAAGTTTTTTACCAGACTTGGTCATCAACAGGTGGCTGACTTGTTGAGCCTGTTTTTAAAAAGGGTTTATTCACTCTTCATAGCCTTCCTTCTTTCGCAAACATTGTGGAATCCCTTGGTGCCATCAGGACCTTTAGGCAACCTCAGTACCCCAACAGGGAGACCGTCTGCATTTTGTATTTTCTGAACCAACATGGGACTGCTAGTGGAACTCTTCTCTTGTGTGAGGGTTTGGGCTTTTCTTCTCTGTACCCAGGGGCTCCCAGAAGGGGTGATGCTGCTATCCAAGGAATAATCTGTACATTTCCTTGGAATTTCAGGGCTAGTGCTTGGGTTAAGCTTACTGTCTTCAGCCAGTGGAGATTTTTTTGTTACTTTTCTTAATGAAGATGGACTGTTCCAAGGGCTTGATCTGGGTGACACATTAGGGCTCAAATGGTTATTTGGATGAATGTTTGGGCTCAAATTACTCACAATATTTGTTGCAGTACATTTGCGCCCTGACAATGGTGATGTAGGATTGCTCTCTGGGTCAGAAGAGCTGTTTGCTGAAGATTCATCACCAACAAACTGAAGTTCCTCCACTCTCTTATTAAGGGATCGAGTCTTCTTAAGACTCTTTCTGGAACCTTCATCATGGTTCTTGTCTTTGGGAACTTTTTTCTTCGGCAGTTTCATTCCTACGAGGACAGCTTTCATGCCAGTCTCTTTCTTTTCAGTGCACATTGAATCATGAGCATGTATGGCAGCATCTACTTCTTCAAATTCTATAATTGCACATTCCTGAGTTCCCAGCTGGGTGTACCAGTTGCTGACCCTCCTGATATCAGGTGGTAGGTCTCTGCCAGGCTTGAGAATACGAACTGATGAAATGACACCAAAATTTACAAAGGCTTTGAGGAGATGCTTCATTATCCTTTCTTGCATGCATCCATTTTGTTGCTTATTAAGAGCCTGGAGCTCAGAAATCATGTGGATGTCATACACCAGTAACATCCTGGTAGGGACATTTTCACTTGGAAACAGTGGAACTGGAGTATTTCTTCGCACCTTTTTGTTGTCATCGTTGAGCTCGAGAGTGTCCGAGTACTTCAGTGCGTAGGCTGTGGTTCTCCAGTCTCGGGTAAGGTGTTTCACCTTGGAGACAGACACAGGTTAAACACCACAACTGATCAAACCCACTCAGACTATTTACAGGATTTTAAGGCAGATGCAAGCTCCAGTCTACAAACAGAAAGGGAGATTTAAGTTTCATGTAGGTAAATTTCAGACTTGGTGAGAAAGTAGACAGTTTTCCTGCTATAATGGGCCTCAGTGAGCTCCTGTAAAGCTCATGGCCTGCTGGATGTAATGGAAACAGGAACTGACACTAAAGCTCAAATTGGAAATTGTTATTGTAACTGAAAGCCTGCTCAAGGGATGCTTGATCATTCCACATGTAGGTCTGAACCATGATCAAAATGTGTGTTGTTCTGGCGGGTTTATTTTGTTAAATTTGACAAGCAAGAAGTTTTGTCAAGTTTAGGACTTCATTGTATTGAACTACTTTTCTTCCCTCAAAACTCTCAGTTTAAAAAACACCCCAAACTTCTCCATTTCCTTTAAGTGGTTTATCTATCACCAAAGTAATGTTTGAAGTGGTCTGAAGAAACCAGGAGTGCTTCAGCTTCTAGACTGAAAAACTCTGCAAACTCTTAGGGGTAGAATCTTGACAAAGTATTTCTGTTGCAATTTTAAAAATTGGTTACGTATGCATATTTACATGGTGTTCCTAATGTAAGAAGAAAAAATAACAGACCTCATCTCACCTTTAACTTGACTTCAGTTATCGGATACTTTATACTAGTCTTAATTTTTGGATCTCTGTACAATTGCAAAGATCAGATTCACCATCCCTTCTCAGAGACAGGAACATAACTTTACAAGGATTACTCAGCTACTCATGAGTAGTTGACATAAAAATTAATTTTATCTGATGTTCTCTCTCAGAATGATAATTTAAAAGCACACATGTTTTTAAGCCTATGATTTCCCTAGCCAATCATGAGTTCAGCTTTTAAAGTTCTGGATGAGAACAAACCTAACCATCACAGTAAAACAAAATCAACCCATTAGAGAGACAGATAGAGACTGTAAAATTGCCTCTATAAAATGTAATTTTCATCTCTCCTAATGTTTTTAGATGCATCAGGCTTACATGAGGCACTTCAAGACTTAGAATGTTAGCTTACCTTCTTAAAAGAAGTGAGAAGTTTAACACTGACATAACCCATCTTATTTCTTCTCACATGCTTCAGGAGGAAGGCGTCTTTCTCAAGGTTCTCATCCGAGAAGTAATATTCAATCTGTGCTATTAATTTCTGGATCAGGTCATTTTCTGGTGGTTTCCAGTTCTGCTCAGAGTCGTCATCATTTTCCCCACCACTGGAAAATAATTAAATCATATCAACAGATCATCTTATATTAGCAAATTCAAATAGTCTTTCAAAAAGAAAAGACATGACCATTATACCAATTGGTATTGCTGCTTCCAACTTACTTTATACATGGGCACTGAACAGTTACCACCCATCCATCTGGGGCAGCTGGCCAGCTCAGAGGAGGAAGCCTTCCAGTCGGCATAAGGAGTCAAGTTCCTGAGCTCATCCCAAAAGCTGATCTCAGTGTAGAACAAGCAGACATACACACTAACATCTTGAAAACACTCTGCCAAATCCTGAACCAAAACATGAAATGAAGGTGCACAGGTACTATACAAAGTTCCTCCAGTGACAGTGTTTTATTTTTTATTAAGAAGCTATTAAACATAGGTTTGACCTTTATGTGCTTAATGGGTAGTGTCACATATCAGAGGATCAATACCTCAATGTGATGCAGTCACGATTTTTCAAGCCTCTTACCTACATGAATGCAGGAGCTGGAATCCAGAGAGTAAACAGGACTGACAGGAGTGTTGCACTTCTACCAGGTCACTTCCAGAGTGACAGAGTAACATAACTATCAGTTTTCCATAAAGGCTTACCTTGCCTGTATGTGTGGTAGCAGCTCATGTATCTCAGGAAGTCATTCTCATTTTTTCTCTCCTTCCCATCATAGTGTCTAGGTATCTCTGCAAAATGGAGCACTACTGGGCATCCTATCCCAAAAAGAGATACTGCAACCATGAGTTCAAGAATCTTCTTGTCATGCACAGTTACAGCAACGTTTGTTGCTGAAATCGCAATTTAAATGGTTATTTCCATCTATAATTGAGGCACATGGCTCACCCACAGGTGACTCTAATGCACAAATCTGTCTTAAGCCAGAGTCATTTTTTAAAGCTGTAAGCAGTCCAGTTTTAACAAAACTTGGACCATCACCAAAGGTTCTGTGAAAAAAATAAAATCAGCCCCTAAGTACCTTAGATCCTATTATTAGATCCATTAGATCCATTTATTATTTCAGTCTCCCACATACCTCAGCAACAAAAAAGGAGCCGTGTATTTGCCCAAAATTTTCTTAAATGGGTATTTGCAGAGCTTTTGAAATCACTAGGAAAGGGAGCAGGCATCACACTGGAGTCCCCAGAGGCTGATGTGGCAGGGAGGATGCAGCCTTGCTGAATCACCCTGCCTTGAGACAGCTCTGTCCTGGAGATGAACTGGAGGCTGTGAGCAGTGCACTGCCTTTGCAGATGCTTGTTGTATGTCTGAAGGTTATGTTTAGGTCAGTGGGCTCTGCACAGGGAACGTGCTCCCACCAGTGGCAGCTACAGCAGTTCTCTGGGACCTGGCTGTTTGAAGCTTACAGTCTATTTACTTCTTATGGCTCTTCTGATGATAGGGCAGCACATCATGGCACATATGTGGATACTTGCAAGATCTGAGAAGTCTCACTGCTAAAATCTTGGTAGCCATTAATGGGGTACAGTTTGAAGGAAGGAGGAGTGAGAGAGCACTTGGCAATGCCTGAAGTAGAGGATAATAGATGAAGTTATGATTGGGACAGTAAAAATATTAGATGGCCAGCTGGGGGTGCTGGTTTCATTAATGATATTCCCTTACCCCACTACTCGTTCTTCGTTCACTAGCAATTCAGAATTAGTGTGAACACAAGAACCTTGGAACATTTCAGCCTTTTATACATATCCACACTCTGCTAGGAAAAGCTTACCTTCAGTTCAGAACGGGGCTGTTCTAGAGAATATATTAGCACAGACATTTGCAGGTGTTTGGATGGAAACAAAAAGGGGTATCATGCCTTAGAAAACAATAAAAATGAACTGCATGTTTGCAGCAACCAGTGAGTTTGCAACACACTGAATCAGAGCAAAACAGGCCGCATTTCACCTCTCACATATTGGTCACAGTCTGACCTATATATGACAGTATTTGGCAGACAGCTCAGCTTTTACAAAATCTCATGGGCTCTTACAACACCCCTCACTAAGTGCTGTATGGAAATGCCACCTACAGCAAATGCAGAAATTTGTAACCAGCTCCATATTAATTCATAGTAGTGAAACATTATCTTTTAGACTGACAACATCATAAAAACATTCACCTTTCAAACTCAGATTCTTCCTGTGTCTGTCTGAATCCAAAATAAACTTGAGTAAAAATAGCTTTACTTCATGCACGTGAGAACTACCTGTTATCAACAGTCTGGAGATGGTTCTGAAGCACCTGGCAGCTAAAAGGCTGAGGACTGAATGTCACAAATACCCAGAGATTTCCCAAAGAACGGTAGGGCTTGACCATTGGAGAAATGGCTTTCATTTCGTACCTAGAAATTGAGGTGGGGGGGAGAATCCAAATTGTCTGCTAGCTTCACCTGGAGAGTGAGAAAGCTCATTCCCAGCAGTTTTAGACCATCACTAATAATTTTCAAAATGCTTGTAAATAATTTCCTACCAAATAAATAAGTGGCATTTAAGAGTAGCTACTGTGTGTTACAAAGCTTGAAAAAATAACCACCCTTTTTTCTAGTCTAGGCCAGGGCTCGAAGCTCTTACACAAGTAATACTATCACAGATATCAAGTGTAAATAATTTCCTAAAATTAAGAAATCAATAATTGGAATGCAACGCTGTAGATTGCTGTAGATATTTATAAAACCAATAGTTCCATATTGTGGAAAAACTAAGCAGACTCAGCTTAAACATCCTAATTGTGCCTAGCTGTGTTCAGCTCCTGTTTCTGTAGTATATAGTTGAAAATTTTGGCAGCTGCAAAAAATTTTCCCTCCCCAACTAGCCCTCTGTAATTTAAAATAATACACTGCAATTCATTCTGAATCAGTGCTAGGATAAGAAGTTCGAGAATCGATTAGAAACAACAGATCTACAAACAGAATACTGAATTTCTTGCTACTGTACATAAATCTTTAGATGATAATTTATTACTGCATCTGCAGCTTTAGTACAAATCATAAGATGAACTACTACTAACAAGCATTGTCTCTGCAGTTTTCTGGCACAAAAATCCTGGATGTGCCTTTTACTAGCAAGATATCCTTGTAGGCATCAAAGCAATTTCAGGCACCACTAGTAATTCCTACAGCACTACTGGCATTATCAAACAGTAGAACGCAGAGTGTGAGGTGGCAGTTTTTTCTGCATTCCTAATGGCCTTGATTTGGTGTCTAGTCAGCTTGTTTCCAAGGCCATAACACCGGTCTCTCTGTCCATGTCTTAAATATCTAAGGAGATAACTGCGTCTGGGTAATAAAAAAAAAAAAATATCGAGTCCATGCAATAAAAAACAAACAGACAAAACAAAATAAAACAAAAAAAACCCACACAAACGCCCCAAAACCAAAACAAAAATAAACAAAACAAACCCCAAAACCAAACAAACAGAAACAAAAACACAACCAAAAAAACAAGCACAACAACAACTAACCCTCAAAACCGTTTCTGTAAAAGGCAGTGAAGTGGCATGGGGAAGCCGCGGCCCCGGCACCAGCCGCTCCCCCGGGGACGGAGGAGCCGCAGCCCGGGCGGAGCCATCGTTTCCCGGACAGCTCCCGCCCGGGTGTCTCCTCGCTGAAGGGGTTCCCGTCTCCCACCCGCCCCCTCAGCGTTGCATCAGCCGCGGCCGCACCGTTACGTGGTGTCCGCGGCGGCCCCGCTCCTCGCTCCTCACGGCTCCGCCCGGGGCGCCGCCGGGGGCTCACCTGGAGGGCCCGCACTGCCCCGAGTCCTCTTCGCTGCAGCTGCGGCACAGCGCTCCGCCGCCCCCCTGCTCCTCCTCCTCTTCCTCCTCCTCCTGCTCTTCCTCCTCCGCGGCTGCCTGGACGGCCACTCGGATCTGCACGGGGCCGCTCCCCGCCGCCAGCTCCGGGCCGGCGACCGCAGCCCCAGGCTCAGCCGGTTCCTGCTGAGCCATGGCCGGGCTCAGCCCAACGCGATAGCAGCGCTGCGCTGTCCGCGGCCGCAACAGCCACCCTTCCTCCGCTCCTGTCCCCTCCCGTCCCCTCCCGCTGGGGTGGCGCTCCCGGCTCCACTCCCCCGGCGCGGCAGCGGGAGGGTCGGACCCTCCTCCGGCGGTGCTGCTCCCGGGCCAGCCGGGCGCTGAAGTGCCCTTCTAATTGACGGCTCCATCGGGATGCTTTTGTTTCATCAGAAAACAACGGGCTCCTCGCCGAAGAGCAACGTCTCAGCTTCTCGTCCCCTGGTACAACCTTGAGGCCGAGTCGCTGCGCCCCGACCAGAGCGTTGCGTTTTAAGAGATTCAAAAAGGTTTCACTGGGGTAAGTGTGGCCTAAATGCCGAGGATGAGATTTGAGTAAGAAACACGAGTGAACAAGGACACAATTGGTTGTTCTTGTAAAGCAGTATGCTCTATAATTCTGTATGTTATTTACACAGAATAAAAACATTCCCTGTTATAGTCAAATGACCAGATATAAATTTTCTTTTTTTAAATATATTGTAGAAATTTATTGAAGGCAAATAAGCAAAACAGCGCGCTGGAAGACCCGGGGAAACTCCTGTTCCACCAACGGTCTTCCCGCCGAAAACGTGCAATGATCTTTTATATGTGCCACTATTCCCTCCCCTTTAGGCGGCGCCTGGATGCCGGGTGGCAGGTCCCAGATGGAGGTGGTCCTCAGATGGCAGCGGCTGCTCTCGAAGCGGGGCGAGTGGCTCCTCCCTCGGGCAGCTTGCTGCCACGGCTGCTCTGCCGCTCCTGGCTCGGCTGTAACAGGCTGTGCCGGGGGCTGTGCCACTCGGCTATGCCCCTTTTATCCATATCTTTATAGGCACATTTAAAGCTTACATTCAGAACTTGTTTAACATAGTAAGATATAGCTTTCCATAGTAACATAACATTGTGGTTTGACATTTGTAATTCAAACTAACCACTAACACTAACATTGCAAAGATAATTTGATTAGCAAATTATTTATCTTTGCCTTTATTAACTATTTCATTCCCCTTTGAGAACTAATTAAAATAGAGGGCCTTTTTCTGAAACACTTATACAGTGGTTATTTTGAACTTAAGACTATTGCACTTTCTTTCAGTGGACTGTTTCAGCTACTAAAGTGAAGTTAACATTCATGTTCTGAAGACTAGAATCAAAAACTTTTCAGTTTCCATGTAAATATTCATTCTTCAGTCAGGGAAGATCTTTTTTTCAATAGTGTTTAGACCTAAACTGCTAAATATAGCTTGGATCTTGATACCACTTTGTGGCATCTTTGTTTTTGTCTTTATTGCTTCAATGTTTTCTTAAAAATTTGAATGGATGAAAAGTGGGGCTGCACTTCGGGCCAGTTCTTCTCATCCCTATGACAAACAGTCCTCATGACTCAGGTTTGCTGGCACGGACACATCCTGAGACTGCTCTGCCTCAGTGGGTTTGGATTATTTTTTAACATGCCTCAAGCAATGAAATATTTTGTTTATGAAATATGCTTACATGCATCACTAAGCAAATCTCTAGGTCTCTGCTAATGGGACATTCTGTAATATGTCTTCAGTAGGGCATCACTTTGCTATTGATTTCAGTGGGAGCAGAAATACAAATACAAAAGTACACATTTTAAGACAGTATGGACAGGAACCGTGGGTCTGATTTTGTGTGAGTTCATGGGAGTTGTTTGCCTCCCTGGGCAGGCACAAGGCCAGGACCAGTATGAGCAAAGAACTATTCTATGCTGCAGCTAACCCAAATGATGTTTGAGAGAGACCTTTCAGTTTATCTGATGTCTCCTTCTGTCGAGGTTAAGGGAACTTAATTTTATAGAAAAGGACACTAGATTTGCTTCTTTGCTTTACGATGGTCATGACACAGAATTGGCCTTTGGCTAGATGAAGACTGATGTAATTTCAACACTGTGTTGCTTAGGACTCCTCTGAAATTACCAGACAAATGTTTTTGGGGTTGTTTGGTTAGGTTTATTTTCCTTTTAATATAGCAATGCTCTATAGTGCTTAACTATTAGCAGAGATGAAGCAGCATTTGTAACCATGGGAGAACTTAAAAGTAAAAGAACTAATGTAGTCAAATGCCTTAGAGGGAAACTCATGGTTCACTGGTACCCAGTAATGATCATAAACCCGTGAACCTCAGCTGCACAACCAAAATCTGCACAGATTTCTTATGGCATACATATTTGCATAGCATTGCCTACATCCTGTAAAAAAGAAATAAAAACAAAATCTCCGATATTTTGCATTTCTCACAAAATATGCTGTAATTACGTTATTCTTCTGTGAACCTTTCAGCAGATGGTAACTAAAATGACAATACACAAAACCTGGAATACATATTTGTTAGGGTGGTAAGGCATTGGAATAAGTTGCCTAGGAAGATGATGGAGTTACCATCCCATAAGAGCATCTCTCTTATGAGGAAAGGCTGCGGGATCTGGGCATGTTCAGCCCTTACAAAAGACAGCTGAGAGGAGACCTCATTGAGGGGTATAAATACCTAAAGGGAGGTATCAGAGGATGGACCAGACTATGCTCGGTGGTGCTGAGCAATAGGACAAGAGGCAACAGGCAGAAACTGAAGTTCCACTTGAAGATGAATAAGAACTTCTTCACTATTCAAGTGACCGAACACTGGCATAGATTGCCCGGAGAGGGTGTGGAGTCTCTCTCACTAGAGATACTCCAGAACCATCTGGTCACAATCCTGGGCCCACGAGCTCTAGGATGACCCTGCCTGAGCAGGGAGGTTGGACCAGGTGACCCACTGTAGTCCCTTCCAACCTGACCCGCTCTGTCAGTCTGTGGCGCTGTAATAGTGTCTTTTCACTAGGCGGGGGGAACACGGTTCGGCACTGGGCACAGCAGAGCGGCCGCACAGCACCACATCCCTCCCTCCGTTCCCTCACGGTCTCCCGCCCATCGCGCCGCCCCAGCCGGCGGGCGGGGCGGAAGTGGCAGTTGCCGCGGTAACGGCGGGGCCATTTCCGACAGGGCGGCGGCGGCGCGGGGTGTGCGGGGTGGAGAGTGTGCGGGCTGAAGACTGTGCGGGCTGAAGACTGCGGGGCTGAGGGATAGCGGCACATGGTGCCCAGCAAGGGCCGCACCGGCCGGGGCCCGCGGGCCACGCCCGCACCGGTAGGTGCTGCGGGGGGTGCGGGCGGGCGGCGGCTCCCCCGGCGCTGTTTGTGTGTACGCCTCCTGTAATGTGCTGGGAGGGGATGTATGAGCCATTCGGTTAAGGGTTTCTGTTAATCATTTTGGCTGCTTTCCACGTAGGTGCCACATTTTGTCATACAAACCCAAAGACTAACCTTTTAAAAAGAGGCATGTTTAAACATAAGCGCTTGTTTTCTTCATGATGAGACTTGCATCCCCATGGAAGTTGTGTTTTCGGTGTATTTTTAAAACTAAAAACAGCGTGATTTTTTTTTTAAACTAAAAATTATTTAGTGTTGCTTAGTACTCTCATGTGTTCTTCATAATATTTTTACAGCGTAGTTCCTTTCTTGACACATTTTGCTTTTGAAAATGCCTGTATTGTTACATTTAACTCTTCATGTTGATAGCTGTTTTTGACAAACGTAGCATTTAATTTCTTATTCTTTCAATTTGCAGGTTAATAATTGTGGTCTTCAGCTGGTTATCCAGACCTCGTCAATGCCAGAGAAGACCAAACCAGTAATTACTACCTTTTCTTGGATAATTATATGAATTAAAGCAGTTGTATGATACAGACAAATTTGTATGCTTTCGGATAGGAATTACCTTTTCGGTAGTCATCTGCTGACTTATAATATCTAATGTATCTGATAGTATTTTAGTAATTTATTTCATCCTATTAGGGACATATAAAGTAAAAACAAAGGAATGTACTATACCCTGCCATAAGCTTTATACATATATATTTACATATATATATACACACACACACATATATATATATGTTTTCTTGTCTGTACCTCTCTTTCTCCTGTAATTACAGTACTCCTTACAGGGGGGAGGATTTTTTTTTCTTTATTTAGTCAACTACATATGCATATGCTGCTAACTTCCATATTTTCATTTTGGTTTCCAACACTGAAGTTTTTTTCCTGAAAGAATAAATACATCTTTTATTGGAGAAATTATTATTTTTCTAAATAATTTGTAGAATTTCCTGAGAATCGCAGTTACTATAAGGTTGTATTTGTCTATGTAGGCATTATTTGCATTTGAAAACTTTAACATTTGTCTTAAATATTGTGTTACAGTTTGAATTCAGGGTAAATAAAGAACCGTCATCTTTCCATAATAGACTTCTGCAGCATGATCTGGAAAAAAACTATTCAGGAAGACAAGGTGATGTTCAGTAGGGTTTGCTTTGTTTGTCTTTTGTATCTCTGTTTTATTAACTGAACAGTAAAGAGAGATTGTGTTATGATTAGAATATGTAAGAGTGACAGCTTTTCCTACTTGGCTACAGTAGTTCAGTGTAATTACTGTTGCATTACATCCTTAACCCACTATTCTGGTGCAGATGTCTTTTTTCATCACATGTTTTCCCCTCATGGAAGAGCATTCTTTCTTCTACCTACAAAGCCACAACCTATCAAGTGTCATACTGTTCATCCCCTCAAAAAGCCACACAGTTCTGTCTTGTAACATTTTATTGGACA